TGAACTCAGAACAAAAGTACCCGTACCCCCTACGTCAAAAAAGTGTTAGAAGTAAAATAAAATAAACAATAATAAAATTAAAATAAATTAAAAAGAAAAACATTTCATAAGGATCTGATATTCTCCATTGGAGCACTCTGGTTTCGGTTTCAAGTGTGCGTGCATGCGCAAGTCATAACGTGGGTACGACATGAAGTCCGCGTGAATGACGTAGCTAACACCCCATTTTTCGTGAAATGCATGGGATCCACCAGATATCACTGAAGAGGAAAAAAAAGCACTTTTTAAAAACGCCAGCTGAAAAATGCACCTTTAAAAGCTTTTAAAAACGAAATCCCCAAAAAAGCACCTTTAAGTATTTTTTACAAACGCTACGTAACAATTTAATTAAAATTCACAAAAATCAAACAAAATAATAAACAATTATTAATAAAAAAAATTAAAACTAAAAAACAAGCTAACAATAATTAACTAGCAAAAAAAAAATCAACAGTTCTGCTTTAACTAGCATCTTACAATCTAAGTTATTGGTCATCTAATCATCAACAACAGAAGTCACACTGATGTTACTTTAAGTTAAATTACTTGTATAACTGAGACATTAAAAATGTATTTTTTTAAATGTAAATAAAGAGTTTTGAGTTGATAGTATTATTTTTCCAATAATCACGTAGTCAAAATTATTTGACGGCACGGCTATGACCTCATTAAGCAATTTTTTTTAGAGAAAATGCCACCTCTGCTATAGTACCAATTTTAAAGGAAATAATTACAGACAAATATATCCGGGGCTCGATCCCCGCACATGATCAATATTTAAAAATTATATTTAGTAAAAATGTTTTTTTAAATTTTATTTTACAATATTCCTTTACTTATATTACTAAAAGAGTTAAAATGAAGAATACGTTACTTGTATACTGTATCGAAATATCTACCCTATAATTTTCTAACTCTGTCAGTTATATTATAGTATACTATACTACCACACCAAAGGAAACAATTGTAATGGAATAATTTCAACAAAAAAAAAATGGTGTAAATATACACGTAATTTCTATGCATGTATTTGTGGTGTTTTTTCTTAAACAGGATTTTGTAATGTTTTTTACACAAAAATAGATTAATTTTTCTACAAATGATTACTAATTTTAATTCAAATAATAACAGAGAAAAACATTAAGAAGTGTTGGTTAGTGAATTGGTAAATACCATAGAGAAATTGATACAACTACTGGAAAGTGAAGAAAAAACAATGACCATCAGGATGTTTAGCATAATTGAAGGAGTTACTTTAAAATGTTTTTTATACAGTTAGTGGGTTGTTATGGAGGACTGTTCTGCATTTAAAGGTCACAATAAAAGTTTAAAGAAAATTCTTGCAATAAAAAAGATTTTTAACATTTTTCAAGTCTGGTTAGATGTCGTAAATAATACATTACTACGTTTGTTTTACATCATTTTCATATTAGGTCAGCAGTACTTTCATAATAATTGTTTTTATTTCCATTTTGTAACCGCGAACTCACAATTTATGTGTTTAACGAATAAAAGAAAATAATTTTAAATTTACTTCTTCTTAAAACTTTGAATTTAACTTTATAGTGTGCAATTAGTTTTGAAATCTAAATAGTTCCTTTTTATTCGAGATCTATTGAAATTTTAATTCATTTCAAAAAAACTTGTCAGGAATGGTTAATTAAATTGGCGGTGTTTAATTGAAAACATTTCATGGAATATTAAAGTTGCCTTGATAGCGTCGCTCCAAAATGTCCATTAAATAACTATCTTCTATGTAGATATTAGTCTAGATTATTTCAAAAGCAAATCAACTCTACACGTTAAGAAAAAATAATAAATAAAAGACTGCTTCTTTTTTAGTCTTGTGAAACGGCGTAAATAAAGGTTTCCGCATGGCCTTCTACAGTAACAGTATGATGCCAATTCAGAGTCATCATACATTAAATTTGTTATTTTATTTCATTATATAATTATTAAGGACTACCCTAAGCATTCGCCAAATCGTAAATTCAGCAACAAAAAAAAATTCGATATTAGGCAAATGATTTTTTTTTGGCGAAAAAAAAAAAAAAGTATACCCCTTGATCTTGAAAAAAGAAGTCGAAGGGAAATTATCGGAAAGAATCTTGTATTTTTTATTCGGTCGCATCGCCAATTAGAATTATATTATGACTAGAGAATGTAAGTATAAGATAAATTACCGTAAAATACAGATAATCACATTCCTTGCTAGATCACGCGATGGAATTTATATATCAACACTTTCTCTATTTTAACGCTATTATATATATACAGACGTTCTTATATTGTGTGCCACATTGCGCGGTTTTCCTCTCCATATAACGCAAATGCGGGCTAGTTTCATCACAGTCTTTCATTTCTCCAAATATTTGATAAAGGAGCTGCCTTGTCTCCAGGATTGGGTTAAAAATTACAAGGCAACGGACATAAAATAAAATAGGGAATCACGCAGAAGCATAACTTTTGACTTCAAATGAGTTTACCGCAGGATAACCATATTTCTTGGTCGTTTAGTAATAAGAGTTACTTATTCGCTATACTAAAAATACTCTTCNTACCTTTTCCAAGCAAAATCAGAAACAAACACAGTCAGCACCGAACACAAACAGATACACGCGGTTTTGATTGATGATGCAATGGTCTTGAGAGCTCAGATTTTAATGCTCAAATACGCCCTCTATATAAAGAGTTTACGTGCATTTGGATTTTTGAATAATTTTACCAAATTCATTAGTTTATCTCAATTTTTCAAATACAAAATTATTATTTTCTTAGAAAGGAAAATATAAATATAATAAACATAGAAAATAAATATATAAATGAAATATATTTTTGGTACAATATTCTATAAATTTTTTAAACATAAATTAATCATTTTCTTTAAAGGAAAAGGATATAAATTTTAGTTAATGATTATAATGACTGAAAATTATTTTAATTTTAATCTTAAAACCATAAACATTATTTTTCAATTAAATAGCTTCCTTAAATTTAAATTGTCTAATATTTCCTGTTAAAATGAATGGATCAATGTGTTTCATAACATTTTCCATCTTCTAAAAGTTAGTTGAAAAACCAATCATTTTAATTTCAACTGCGCAACGTATTTAAAATAATGATAAAGTATCGGAAGATTTTTAACATTGTAACAACAATGTTAAAAATCCTGCAATAAAAAAAAAGCTGATGTAAATTTTGTTTAAAAAATAATATGGGAAAGAATGCTGAAAGGTTTAATTATTTTTGTATACACCAAAAAATCTATTGAAAAAAATATCACTGTACATCAAAAGGAAAAAAACAATTTTCACTGTATTATTAGCCTATATAAATTTTTTCTGGGAAAAAAAATTTGCGCATGAAAAATGATAATTTAATAGCTTTATTTATTGCCAGCATAAAATTAAATAATAATTTTGTGCAGCTCTTACAATATATTCTATTTCATGTTTCAAAGCATGCAATGTTAACCAATATAACTTTTACTTGTATTTACTGGCATAGCTAGCGGTGAACAAGAGTATATCGTTGGTTCAAAATTAAAACACTTCTGCCCTCACTTCTCATTCAAACGGCACTTATTATGTTTTCAGAAGTGTCGTTTTAATTTTGAACCAGCGGTATGTCCCCAGTTGTAGCGCAAGAGATGCGTCAATTTTTTTTATAACCGTCGTTGAACAGCCTACCCAATTTTTTGGGTTTATGACTACTAATGTTCAACTCCGTAACCTTGTAATTTTGAACCCAATGCAGAAGACAAGGGAACTCCTGGATCGAGTATTAGGAGAAATTTGCCTTCGCGGAGGACTTCTTGATGGAACTAACCTGCATTTGCGTTACATAGAGAGGAAGAACACGAGAACCTCCAACGGTTAGCCTGACGGCAAGGGGACCCTAACCCACGATACGTCTACCATTGAGGATATTTCACGTCAGTAATGTGGTTGGTGCAAGCCGTATGCGGAATTCGTATCAACATTCGAACCCGGTTCGCCTCATTGGAAGGCGAATGCTCTATCCTCTGAGTCATCATGGCTTGATGTGCCAGATTTATATAAAAAATAATTAAAATAAAAAGTAAGCAAAAAATAAATAGCTACAGAATGTTCTGAAATTTTTTTCTCTGAATAAATATATTTTTAGGCTCTAAGTGAAATGATTGATTTAAAATGTGCTAAACGAAGTTAAATTGTTTCGCTCAAATTAATAAAATAAAATTTTTTAACGATTCTGCTGTTAGCGATTCAAGAAAAAGAGTGATTGATTGGCTTTACTGAGGAAAAATAATTCATTGGATAGAAGTACAAAAGCTTTAAAAAAAATGTGTAAGATAAAATCTATTATTAAATTATAACCAATTATTTATTGGAGAATTTTATAAAGTTAAAAATACTGAAACATTTTGTTAAAAGAAAAAAAAATACCCCAAAGCATCGGAACAAACTTAACACTAAATGAAAATTTAGCCCACAGACTAGAAGATAAAAAACATAAAAACCCTCTTTTTATGAACAGAAGCAAATATACTAGCCCCTTCTTCCACCTCCGCTACAATTTTTGACTTTCCTAAACTGCTTAGTCCCATAATCTCCTAAGAGGTCAAAGATTTCTCCATTCATTTAGAGATAGATAAGAGAGTTTTATATGGCATTCTAGTTTAGTGAGGTAATAATGGAGAGAATTTTAATGAAGTATGGCTAAGTTGATGATATTTCAGCTGTTTGACAATAAATTTCCATCTGATTAAAGTGGATATAACAGATGGTAAAATAATTTAAATTAAGAAAAAAATTCCAGCTTTTCTTAAAAATTCCCTGATTTTTATCTAAATTTCCCTGATTTTTTCAGGTTTTTTCCAGTATAAAAAAAATTCCTGATAATTCCAGGTTTTCAGGTGGGTGGCCACCCTGTAATATTAATTTTCTAATGCATTGCATCTAAGTCACAAACTGCAAAAATAATGGAAAACTTTGAAATAATTTATTGAATAAAAAATAAATATAACTGGAAATATCACATACTTTACAATTATATGCAAAAGGTAACAGATGTAATAAATTATTTCCAATTTAAATTAGTACACATAATGAAACAGTTCTTGCACTGTGAGTGATGGTAAAATGTTGTCATGATATTGTTATAAATTATTATCAAGCCTACTCTTCTGGCGGCTGTATCTTTTGTAAAATACCTCGATTACCATCCAAAATGACATAGTCTCCTAAAAAGGCAAAATTTGAAAAATAAGATAAAAATGAATAATGGCCATTTTATGCAAAAAATATGGATTAACATTATTATATAGGACATGGGTCAGGGGGACACATGTCCCCTAAATAATTTTCCTAAGCTTCAAAAAATTTTTAAAGTATTATATTTTAAAACCCCAACAGCTATTTTTTAATTTAAAACTTTAAAAGCCTAAAAAAATCAAATATTTTCGATAGTTAATAAATAATTGAAAGAAAATATTTTATGATCGTGACTTTTATGTAAAGGTTATCTTAAAAACCAGATAAATATTTTTTCTTTAAAGTTGTTACGATTCGAATTCAATGAAGCAAAATTTAAATATTATTTACTTAGATTATAATTATAGGTAGTGATATTTTAGTTTAGTTTATGCACAGTATAATTTTTTTTTTAACATTGTTACAATTAAACTTCAATGAAACAAAATTTAAGTACTATTTATTTATATTATAACCGTAGATAACTATTTTACTTTAGTTTATGCACAATGTAATTTTTTGATAGTAATTATTATTTATTAACACTTAATTTACATGATGCCTAAAAATAAAAGTTTTTTAATATAATTTTCATTAGTTAGGAGGCTCCACTCATCAACCGTCGCGGTTGCCTTTCAATCATCTCTGTTTTTTATTATTCTTTAAAAGTCAATGCTTTTTTTTTTTTTTTTTTTTTTTTTTAAAAAAAAAAGAATATCATTTGCTTATATAATACATACAGTAATGTGTTAGAACATTTAGTTAATATGTTAATTGCAACAAGATCAAAGATTACTTAGATTTAAAAAATATTAAACTGTATTTAAAAAAAAATAAAAAATACAGAGCGTGGGCCACAATAAGGAGAAATAAATGCAAAGTAATTTTACTTGCTAACTATATATCAAGGGTAATTGTGGCCCAAAGAAAGTGAAAAAGCGTAAAAAATTTATATACCATACATGTTTGATATTTAACATAATTTTTTTGAACTAACATTTATAATTAAATTACCTACTAATGCAGAATATCACGTTTTTAGAATCACGAATTCAAAAAATATCCTACTTCGCACAAGAATCGCGATATTGAATATTAAAATTGCGTGAATATGTATCGCAATATTGGAATTTAAAAACACGAAAATACTAATTGTGAAATTAAATTTTTAAATTGCGTAAATACGAATCACTGTGTATAATTTTAAATTGAGAATACAATTCGTAATGCGTAGTTTTTAAAGCACGTATAAATACAAATAAATATCTTAATCATGCCACATATCACGTATAAAAACAAAGGTAGAGGATTTCGAATTCTTTGAATAAGAGTTAAGACGATTTCATGTGGACCTCAGCAGATGAGGGTAGAAACAATTGCAGAGAGGGATTCTCATGATGATATTGGTAACGTTATTGAATATGACACAGATGATGTCCTGGAATCTTTAAATGTATAGCTTTAAGGTATATTTTAATTTTTTCAAAATATAATTTAAAGTATTGTTTAAAAAAAATCTTTATAGGAAATGGAAATAGTAAGAGAAATTGCAAAACTAATTGTACATAACATCTTCAAAATATTTCCCATTTCAAAACTAATTTACACCTATCTTATTTTCCTTAATGTATTGACAATTCCTGACCAATCAAAGTATGATTTCATTACTGGTGAAGTCCACCCCAAGATATTGGTAAGATTTTAGGGATTTTACTAGGATATAAGGTACTTAAAATTGTTAAACATTTCAGAATCTATTAAAAATTTTAATCAAAATATTTTTTGTGTTATTTACTTTTTAGTATTACATATTTTTATTAATTTTTCAAGGAGATGATCCACATAGAGCCTTGGACTCGCCTAAAACGCATTGTTATTTATAGACAAATATTTAAATAAATTAAAAATACAATAGCAACATTGGGTTTCGGTTTGTGGTGGATAATTATTGAATTTTTTTAATACAAACAAATCTAATTTCTAAGCTTTCAAATTATTTCCTTAACCTTACATTAAACTAATAGTTTCTTCAAACAATAAATTTAAGACAGCATTCAAATTCTACATAATTTAACAAAAAAAANAAAAAAAAAAAAAAAAAAAAAAAAAAAAAAAAAAAAAAAAAAAAAAAAAAAAAATCACAAAACATTTTTTTAAATTCAAAACAGGATTAAATTTTTAACTCTGTTGAATATGATAGATATTTAAGTTAAACTTTCTTAATAACTTTTCATTTCTTTATTTGCTTACTTTTCATGCAATAATTTGAAAATATTGGGCAAAATTAATTATTAGGGCAAAATAATTATTAGGGCAAAATAATTATTGGGGCAAAATATTTAAATGTGATTTTCAGCAGTTATTGTGCTCTGGTTCTATTTAGCTTGCTACAGTCAAACTGTATTATTGTAAACCCTTTTTTAAATTATATGTCAGATAAACAAGGAAATTTTTTAAAGTTTGGTTAAAAACCTATAAAAAACCTCTTATTGCCAGCAGAACTTGAAATTTATCATAAACTTTTGGAAAATAACTTAGTTCAAATTGTGGTAAAAGCTATTTGATAGTTCGTTAAAATTTCCTTCTCTTTGAAATTGTTTTAAAACACTTTTTAATTCAAGTTGTTCAAAAAATGTATGTAACTAAGCAATGAAGAGTTAAAAGCAATCTTTCACCTTTTTTTGCTATGAACCAAAAAGCTATAAATAAATTAAAAATTAATGAGAAAGGTGAGAAGTGAATTTTTGGATTGTGGATGAGTCTGCTAGCATTTATGTTTTCAAATGTTCGTGAATCATAAGCCAGATCTGCTCTTTATTACTTTGCTCTAGATTAATTTTTTCTTACACATGGATTAGTAATAGGTAAACCAAAAAAAGTTATTTCTTTTCAATTTTTTTTAAAGCAAAAAAGACATTTTAGTCACAAAGCAGCAAAAGAAGAGATTTTTTCAATTTTTTTTTCTGTTTATGTGAACCTACTATGTGATTATATATGATCACTTAAACATATCTTACTTAAATATCCATAAAATATTTTTTATAAGTAAATAAAAGCTGTTAGTGAGAAAGCTATCTTCCAGTACAGAGAAAAATAGATCAACCAAAAGTTTAATGAAGAGTTAGAATATGAAACAGTCGTATTATTTATTTTGAATGAATGTAACATCAATATTATTATTTATTTTGAGTGAACAGGTTTTATCTTGCAAAAATACTGCCAATAGCAAATTTTTTTCAAGGCTAATTAGTTTATACCTAATAACAACTAGCATAAGAAACTGGCATTAAAGTTGAATAGTATTTAATCCAGGAGACTTCAGTGACTTATATAATCTGCATGTTATACATTTAGATGTATTATTCATTTGATATTTTCTTAATTTCATATTAATAACGTGAGTAAATAAATGCAATTTTTTACATACAAAATTCTAGTTTTAAAAGGATAACTTTTTTTTATTGTTGAGATTTTAATTTCTTTTGTTTTATTTGTATTAGAAAAATTAATTAAATTATTAAATTTTATTTGTATTTGGATTCAATGACAAAATTTCTGCATGTTCCTGCTTTATCTCTTTTCCCCACATTCCATTTACCTATATATAAAATAGTAATTACCTTACGATATTATGATAAGAAATTGTTAATATATCTAATTATTTACATATAGTGTTATTACTCTATTTTCTTTGAACAAAATTCTGATTATTTGGCATTCAGTTTTATGCATTAAGGTCCTCTTTCGATAGAACAGAAATTCTATGTCATTCTATTTTCCACTTTTTCATTATAAAACACAATTTCCTTATATATTTAATCATTTCATCCTTGTTTTCATTTCATCCATGAATGAAATTTACAAACATATTTAATAACTAACTTATATAAAGAGGTATTTTCTGCTTCATTTTCTACCGAACATAGTTATCAAATTTTAAATGTTAGGATCTAAGCATTTTTAGATTTTTTTAAAGTTTCTATAAAAGCTTTGCATGATTAAGATATTGTAATCAGCTGGCAACATTTGAGATGCAACTCAATAAGGAAAACTTGAAGTATCAGCTCTACAGTCATCTATACTATTTTTGAAGATTGTAGAAAACGAGCAAATTGTACAGCTCACCTGTTTGAAATTGTTTTGTGGCTCCATGTAAACCAGCAATGCAAGGTATTCCATATTCTCTACTTACAACAGCACCTATTTGAAAAAAATAAGACATTGATTGATTGTTTTGTTTCATTGATTGTTGTTTAAAGGCCTGTTTATACAATCCAAGTTCTTGGATGAAGATTGATTAAAATTGATGGAAACTTGTTTTGCTAGGAGCTTGGATCATGTAAACGATCATCCAAGTTCTTGGCTAAGTACTCATTTTCTACTTTCCATCCAAGTTTTTCCTTCCTTAACCAATCAGCCTTGAAAGTTTTGTAACTTCAACAAGCAGACATCAGATTATGTCATTTTGCTGTCCGTCTTCATATATTTTAATAAAAATAAATTAATCAGTTAGAGTCCATTTGTGTTATGATTTTATTTGAATTTATTTAGTAATTTTGAATTTACTTACGTATGATTTTATAATGTTGAATATGAACAATGCACATGCGCAGGTTTTTCATCCAGCCAATCAGTGACAATCAAGAACTTGCATAGTGTCAGTGAATCATCCAATTTCTTGGAGACAGAAATTCCTCCAAGTTCTCGGATTCAAGAATTTGGACAGTGTAAACAGGCCTTAAATTAATAACTAATGTATCACAAAAATACATCTAGACAAATAATCTCATCTGAGTGACAAAATTAAATCCATATAAGACAGAGTTTTTTAAAAAATCGAAATACTATACTCGATTTATAAATTTTGACTTATTCAAAAATGAATGTATTTGTAGAGTAAATAAACAACATTTAAATAACGCAATGAAAATAATAATTAAAATTAGCAGGTAAAGTTGAAAAGATATACTTTTATAATTTATTTTAGCATCATAATACATACTGTAATACTTTAAAGTGGGCTACAGATTACTTGTGATGGAAAATGTGTAGATTTGAAAGACTAGTTGAAAGATTGATTCGAAGAAGGTTTTTGAATTTAATCAGAGAGATTATGTACCGATTATTTTAAAATGAAGAGTATTGTACTGGATATTAGTTAAAGATTGTAAACCATGTTTAGATATGGAGTTTAACTTAGAAATTACAGTACAAATTCAGGTGCTCTCTATAACATTTAATTTAGAGCTTGACTATATTTTACACATAATGATGTTTAAATTGAGATGAAGATACATATTTTAATCACTCTCTATGTAAACAAAATAATTTGTATATGTAGAAAGCCAGTACCATTTTATGTGAATGTAATTTTTTTTCTTCATAAAATAATAAAAGTTTTTTTTTTACATTTCAATCATGTTTGAAGAATTTTATAGTCCTTATTGAAAAATGAAATTAAAATTACCTTACAGAAATCAGCTGCTAAACAAATATTAAATTTAGTTTCCTAGAAAATAGATTCAAATATAAAATAGAAGATACACTGACACTGCAAATTATTTCATCAAACACAAATTCATAACAATGTTTTACTAAAAACAATGCAATGCTATTAATATACAATGTTAACTTACCAAAAAAGGATAGGGTATATTTGTGCTATGCACACTAAAGAAAAACCAATGTTTATAAAGTATAAAAGAAAGCACAGAAATGGACATACTTTAGTTTCAGTTCATGAGGTTTTGTTGTGTACCTTTGAGAGAAAAGCCTTGAAAGTATTTTTTTTTTTTAAGGAATTCAAAAAATAGTGTGTGGCTTAGAAAAACAAATTTAGAGCTTTATCACTGATATAACGAATCTGACATTATTAACTTTATTAAACAACAAAGAATAAAATGGGCAGGCCACGTTATCGGAATGAACAAAGACTGTATCACAAAAAGAGTTTTTAATGCCAAGCCAATTGGAACACGTAAAAGAGGCAAACCAAATTTGAGATGGATAGATGGCCTAGAAAAATACCTTTTGGTCTTAAAAACTGAAAACTGGAAAACAATAGCTGGGAAAAGATTAGCCTGGAAAAAATTTCTTGAGAAGGCCAAGGCCCACCCTGGTCTGTCGAGACATTGATGATGATGATCAGGGTAGTTTCAGTTCTATAAATAAGAATCTTCCTCAGTATCTGAACACCAAATGATACAATAGAAAAGCCTTCTCTATGGAATTTTTTGATGTTCAGACACTGAGGAAGGTTCTTGTTTATAAAACCAAAATATGTATGTCCATTTCTGTACTTTCATTTATGCTTTTCTATGTTTTTTTTTTTTTGCTATAGTATTTAAGTTGTTTTTTTTATAGTACTAATAACTAGCTATAAATTCGATATTATACCACAAACAAATAAATATAAATTAATACTATTCAAAGAAGTGAATTTAGACTTTTTGCTTAAAATCAAATAAATATAAAATTTTCCTTATAAATCAGTTTTTAAATTGCAAATAGATGTGTTTACCATGTGAAATAAGTCCACCTAATTCTGTAACCACTCCAGCAAGGTGAGGAAAATATGGACTCCATCCAATATCTGTGCTATAAGTGATCAATATTTCTCCCGGCTAAAGTAAAAAATAAAAGAAAAAACTAACATGAAATTTGATCATTCAATTTGACCTAGTTCTATCCATTTTTAATATATGTAGAATTTGTTATACATTTAGACACAATGCTATTTTTCAATTTTGTATTAATTATGTCATCTTGTGCAAATTATGTATTCTCTATTCAAAACTTTGTTTTTATGCTATCTTTATTGATAAGGTCTAGGCCTAACACTGCTCAGATAGCGATTATCAGTCAAAGTTTTTAAAATATCGCATTAAATATTAGTTTAGTTCATTGAATTAGCTTCTACCTTGTGGGGAAAAAAACCGTTTTATATTTTAGTGGATATTTTTTGGCAGGAACAATAAATATCAATCAATGTAACCATCTTGCAACAGTTAGGCAACTAAATCTTATAAAAAAGAAAAGTTCCTGAACTTATCAAGCCTGATTTTTGTAATTGCTAACATGCATTTTAGTAGATATGTCGGCAGTTTAAAAAAATTAATAGAAGACCAACCTTTTTTGGCAAAGATATTGTATTATTTACCTCAAACTCAAATAAATTAATTTTTTCTACCTTTTTTTGCTATTTTAATTAAATTGCCTCACTTTTTCTAAATTTTCCTTGATTGATAAAATACCTAGATTTTTCCCTGTTCAGAGCCCAATCAGTGTAAACAGTAACAGCTTTATTACTAAGAATAAATAAGGATTAAAATTATGCATCATTTATATAATTTTTTAATTAAGTAACCTTATTTTTATTCATTTTTTATAAGTTAAGAAAGGTTAACTATAGACTAGGCCAGAGGTTGCCTTGAATGCGGCTCTTACATGAAATAGTGCATGATGGCATGGAAATCTTGAAAATATACAACACAAAAGATGACAAATTTTACATTAGCATGAAAACAAGTGAAAACATATCTGGCAGTGGTATTCCTAGGAAATTATTTTTCTGTACGGGTTTCAGCATTTTGATTGTGCTGATTATACATCATATTGTACTATCGTAGTAACTGTTATAGGTCAAATTTTAACTACTAAAATTCTTTGAATTAATATACCAATGGCTATTTGAACTTAACGGAGAAACAAAAAAACATAAAAATGAAATATATTAGGGTTTTTAGCATCTAGAACTTCAAAATTTAAAGTTTCTTTTCCATAGGCTAAAACAAAAATTTTCCTAGCAACCGCATTTAGGCAGAATAAAATATATAGAAGATGTTCCAGTTGCATAGAATATGAAAAAACTTCAAATTGAGAATGTCTAAAAAATAAAAATCTTGATAACTGGGCATGAAGTTTCATATTTACATTATTTGGTGTAGCAAATTAATGCTGCCATTGTACTGATTCTAATAAAATTTTTGCTAATGTATCGATTAATGGGCCATGGCACTGATTTCTGTACAATTCTACCAATGAGAGTAAGAATATCAGCATTTGAGTACCCTAATTAAGTGAATAGGAATATATCCACCTATATAATTTAAGTTTAAAAAATGTGGCTATCGAAAAAGATTTCAATTACTGAACTGCTGATCATTGACTCTGTGGACTATTAAGTCTACCGATGACTGGACTAGGTAGACAGTACTACAATTAAGTTTTATTTAAAAAAACACAAAATACACTTTGTGACAAAATATTTAATGCAGAGTTGTCTTGTAATACGGACTGTTTTTAATTCATTATGATTTAGTAAATTTCTGCCTTGTGCAGAGCAAATATCTTTCATGCATTTATAGGGTAGGCAACTAAGTCTGTTCTATTTTCTCTGCCAGTTCCTTTCTTGTGAGTTGTGAATTAGTTGTGAATTCTTGTGAGTTAGTTTCATCACTTTTCATCGAACTGAACTGGATGGCTAAAATGAAAAGTCCCTTTAGGGTCAAAATTTCTTATTTTTAAACTAGATGTACCAATTACGAGCAGTTTTTATGCCATGGCACCTTCTCTATAGATAGGACAAATGCCAAGAGCAGCTTTTGTATCCATAGAACCTAGAAAGCCAAAAAAAAAGGAGGTGTCGAAAATGCTCATTTTTTTTCTTCAACTTAGCATTCCATTTTAAAGATCTGAAAACTGACTCAAGTGTAAAAACATAACACAGATTCCAGTTAAACATAATATCCACTTACGAATGATCTACACCATTAGGCTGAAACCGCCTAATAATGTATATTAAAATTTCAATTAAAAAGGTGGGAACTCAGTTACCAAACTAATAGTAACCCTTTATAAAGGTAAAGTTAGATTGAGAATGTATGCTTTTAAATTTTTCTTGAAGCACTACCAAATGAATAAGTATGAAAATGCATTAATTTAAACACAAATTTAGCTATTTTTAGACCCAAATTTTAAGTAATGGAACATTTATATAAATATTTATAGAAAATTACTTTAATATCAGTAGCTTCTTCTAAAGTTAGAGCTTTACGAACAAAACCCTTAGCCATTCCTTGACTCACTGGTATACCTAGATTCATGTAAAAAATAAATAAATAAACATAAAAAGGCTATTAAACTATTTCTGAACTCTCATTTAAAAATGCAAATCAATTTTAATGTTAAATAAAACTTACCTTGCATTGAAAAATTGACACTGTTCACAACAATTTCCGTATCTGATTTATCCATCTGCAAAATACAATGATTAGAAACATTGAAGATGAAGAACCAAAAAACATATGACTAATTTAAATAAAAACCACTCCCGGATAGTTAAATTTTTCAAGTAAAAATTAAAAACTCAAAACATTTATAATTCTTGTCCTTAAAAAAACTACAAAAATATTTTTTCGAAGTCTTGTATGCTAAACACAGGATGTCTGAGAAATTTTTAGAGTTGTAAGCTAAATTTTCACAAACACTTTCTTCTAAATTTACTAGCTATAAATGAAAATTAAATTGTACAAAATCAACTGCATAATTTAATACTTAACTTTAAGAGCAACAATATATTTTTCCCTACTTTTGTTAGAAAATATTTAAAAAGTAAATTTAGGATTTACATTTAAATTATGTGTTTCATTAATGTGTAACTCATTTATCATAAAATTAAATGAAAGAATTATAAAACTAAAAGTAAAAAGAAGTTCTAGACTATTTTATTTTCACAGGTATTTAAATAATGTTATCTATTAATAATTCCTTCATTTTTATCAAGTACAGTGAGCAAAAAAAGTAAACAACCTAAATAACTTTTGATCTTATGATTGATTTGAGTTTGATTTTCACATTTGACTTAATCTTAATGATTTAAGGGACTGATCTTAAATATGGAAATTTTTAGAGCACAGCATATTTTAAGTAGCAAAATAAGACATGAAAATGAACTGAATAAACATTTTTTTTTCCGATTTAGATTCCTGACTTTCAGAATATGAAGGGCAGCTGCAATCTTGAAAAATGATATCAATAGATTAATCAGAAGAGCAGTCGAAAATTTGGATTCCCTAAATGTTATTTAAATTTTTGCCTCTTTAATTTTGTCTTAATGAATTTTTAAGCGCATTGAAAAATTTTTATACTCTATATTAGTGACAGACACTGTAATATAGAATATTTATATTTTATATTATTGAAAAAAACTGTCATAGTGCCATTGAAAACCAAGGGGAAAAAGGACAATCTAAATTCTTTAACAAAAATAGTTTTTAGATTAGCAGAAAAGAAGTAATTTTTTACTTTTTCTAAAGATCTAAAAGAGTCCAAATTTTTTCTTTTATAATCTGATGTTATTTCAATAAGTAATATTTTTCCTTCATTAAAAAGTTGTGGCAAAATTTTTGTAACTTACAGGTGCTGGGAAACCCTTCATTATTTCAGGAAATCTGTACTCATTAAGGATGGGGTACCTTTTTCGCCTCTGAATAGCTCTAAAAAAGTAAACATTTTAAAATTAAAAAAATTGCAATGATTATACTAAGTACATAAATAAGTAGAAAAACTGATATTACTCATTAATATTGATATATATATATTTATTATTATAAGAAAATTCTGATTATCCAAATACGATAGGTGACCTGGCAATAGCGAGCTGGCCCAGGCACTATTAATCAAGATTTTATTCACATTTTTAGAAAACTAGGAAGTTTTGAAATAGGCCTAAAAAGATCAGCTTCTGTTATAGATAAAAATGATATTAAACAGGAACAATCTTTTGACATACTTGGATATTACACTGGGTGATCGTGTTTTTAATAATTGGTCAATATCATCCAGCGTCATAAAGAAGAGGAGATCTTCATCGGGTATCCTTCCTTCATCAGCCATCATTTGCGCTAATCTCCTCCATCCTATTCGCCAATTATCTTGGCATTTAACCATCAGAGACTGCAACAAGATTATAAAAGTTAAAAAACTAGAAAAGTATAGTTAAGTTTTATTAGAAATTAATTGGCTCTCACTAATAAAAATGATTATTTTAAAGAACAATTTTTAGAAGTTGGTTTAGAAGTGGGGAATTTTTGTTATGATTAAGTAAAAAAAGTCAAGACCTCTAAATAGAATTTTATAATAAAAATAAAGGCTTTCCTTGCAAAAAAAAGTTGTTGCTAAAGTCCTAATTGTTGTCCTACCATTTGAAACCCATTAATAAAAATGTCAGGAAAGATTTACTAGTGAATGTAAAGATATCATATTTGGGGTTCATTAATAAAAATATACACATAAAAAATAAAGATCTCTGTTTAAATTTATTAATAAAAATAACTAAGATATTTTTTTTGAATCGAAACAATTTTTTTAAAAAATCATTGTTTTATTCAATATTTTTTGTGAATGTAAACACATATAAGTCCACTTTCTGAACATTACCAATGAGGCTTTACCACTGCATTACTAACTATTTTAAAATTAACATGTTGCTATGTCAATATTTTTGCAAAAAGAGATAAATTTTCTTTCTGCACATTACCTATGATGTTTTACCGATGCATTAGCAACGATTTTAAAATTACACATTGCTACATCATCATCCATTAAAATCATAAAAAATATCTTCTATATAAGTGAAATGTTTGTAAATTTATAGACATTCTGGAATTTTTAAGCCAAGTTTCATTTTAATCACCAGGCTTTTTAAATTATTTTATGACTGAAATAACAGCTTAGAAATGTACATACATCAAAGAAGGTTTATACTACAGTTTAACCTTCATAAAAATAACTAAACATTAATCATGAATCATAAAAATAACTAACCATTAGGTAATTTTTATTTACCCTATTTTCTAGAATATAAAAGGATTTCTTTTAGAGGGAAAAGGCAGAAATTTAGAATTAATGTTACCTTTTAATAAACAAAGTAAGTAAAACACAAATTAATCAGGGTATGAAAATTGAATACATTAAACCCCCTAAAACCCAAAAAGGGAACACAAACTGCTGCAATGTTATTTTTTGGTTATGGTATCATTCAATTTTGCCGATGAAAACTTTATTAAACATATTTATTTCAAATTTTTGGAGAAAAATACACGAAAAAATAAATACGAAAATGAATTACTTGGTAAAATACATACCTTTGAAGCTTCTCTATACTGTACACCTTTTCTAGCATAAGGTACTATAAATTTCAAAAATAACCTATTGAACAATTAAAAATATTCAATTAATTACTGAAAATATAATTTTCTAAATCAACCAGTAAAAGATGAAAATGCATACCTTGCAATACGTCCAAGTGGAACATTCAACTCTGCAAAGACTTTATCAAGATCATCAGATGTTTTATCTTTGACTATTTTAGTTGCGCTTCCGGCCAGAGTCTGCAAACACAATAAGCAAAATAAAATTTTTAAAAATAAAAATTAAGATTTTTTTTAATACTATCTAATATGATCTGGTAATCTTACATACCTTACTTGTACAAATACACGGAAAAAAAATTCCGTTAATATGTAATTTTTAAACTTACATGACTTATATGTTACTAGTGACTAATATTGAGCTACACTAGAAGAATCATAACATTTCTTATACCAGTAGAGGCAATTATTTCTCTTGGTCTAGAAATAGTTCGTAGCAGTTTTCAGCTGCACTTTTAGATCATTTGGAAGAAAATGTTTTTAACTTTTTCACATGGGCTCGAAAAAAAGACATCGAGGTTTTAAGAGAGGCTCTTTTTGCCACTGGGGAAGTAAAGAACGAAAGGGTACCGATGTTCATAAAAAAGTAGGCGACAAGCGTTAAATAATTTTAACTTCCCGCTGTCTTTCGTAACTTTGTTTACTAACTCTTAAACCATGTAGTTAGGGATAATAGGAAGGCCACCAGAGGAGATTTCCTGCGCTTTTGTACAACTCGAAAAGTGCGTAAGAGAGAAATTATTAGAGAGAATAAAAGGCATAGACAAGGAAATAGTGATAGAGTTATAAACAATTTCTAGTAAGAAGTGTTAGTAAGAAGAAAGCAAAAATTCACCAGGACACCTCTGCACAAGAGCTAGATGCAGCTATACTGTGCCACATTCAAAATATAAATAAGTAAAATAAAAAAAGTTATGGCAGCAGTTAAGAGAAAAAACTTTTAACACAGTAAGAGAAGAATAAACAATATTATAAACCATTTTTAATGCATATAATTTGGAACAAAACAAGAAAGCAAAAGAATAAAAACTTCCTAGGGTACCTTCCAATCTTTACTGACCTTACCTAAGAAAGGTAAAAACAGTAAGGGACTCAAAAATGACTGAAAAATTCTATATATTTGACATTCACATGAAATAATAATATCCTATGATGAATTAAATTTAAAAGTTATGGAATTTTTTTTCAAAATATCATGTACAATTTGCTCCAATCATAGCTAGATTATATAAATGGATTTGTAATGTACTTTGCTATTCCTAAGTTATAATGGCAAACAAATGTTTCAGATCTAAGAAAACTTAGTGCTGTTACCTGTAATAATTTAACCAGCAATTCGGGAGTTTCTCTCCATGGATGAGAATACATATCAAACTAAAATAAACAAAGTGACAAAAATAATCTTAATAAAGGAAATGTAAAAAATAAATTTTATAGACAATTAAAAATTCAGTTTTTACAATTTAAAAGCAACTATTAAGTTATTTTTAAAAATTATTAGCTACTTTTTCAATCTCTGATAACAATTTGAATGCTTAAAAACTGTTTTAAACAACTCTGAATTATTACTAAGAAGATTGATTTAATAACAAAACCTATGGTGAAAATGCATCACAATCAAGAATAAAATAAGACAAAATGTTCGTCTATAGTTAAAATTCAATTTGGAAGAGGTGTAATCCCCCCACCCCACCCCGAAAAACTGCAGAATGGGATCAACTGTACCAAGTTTTTCAAAAACGTCATAATTTGCAAAAAATAAAATTCTGAATTTCCCTTTAAGGTTTTTTATACGAAAAAAGTGAGATAAGAAAATCTTAAATACTTCTGTAAAGATTGTAAATATGAATTAAATAGGTTAAGATTTGTCTCAAATACATTTCACTCTGACTTGAAAATTTTATTTTGTGAGAAATGCTNCCCCCCCCCCCCGAAAAACTGCATAATGGGATCAACTGTATCAAGTTTTTCAAAAACGTCAGAATTTGTAAAAAATAAAATTCTGAATTTCCCTTTAAGGTTTTTTATACGAAAAAAGTGAGATAAGAAAATCTTAAATACTTCTGTAAATATTGTAAATATGAATTAAATAGGTTAAGATTTGTCTCAAATACATTTCACTCTGACTTGAAAATTCTATTTTGTGAGAAATGCTTTTAAAAGTTTTCTGGGATCACATAGTTGCTCAATTTAAAATTAAAGCACTTAAATATTTTTTCTGTACATAAATCTCAAGGTATATCCGCTATTGTGGGACTTTTTTAATAAAATATTAAAAAAAAAAAACTCTTTCACAACTCTTTTCACTTCTCTTATTCTCTCTTTTCACAATTCTGAGTGGTCTTACCAGGGTGTCCTTTATGGTCTTATCAGCCATAAATTTTCCTGACTTGTTAATTCCATCAAGAACACAAAATTTTCAAAGTCAAATTATTGACGTGTTTCATGAAAATTATATTAAAACAAACAAGATAAGTACTTATATTTCATATATTATAATATTTAGGTATATTATAATGCAGTTGTCTTCTAACGAAAGTTACTATTAACAAATCTTAAATATATATTTTCTATTTTACTTTATAAGCTTATTACCTTTTTTACTATAAAACATTTATATTTTTTCACTAAAAAGGTAAAACAGCATAGAATTTAAGAGGATATATGAAAATCGCAATGTTTGCATACTTTGTTCAAGCTTAATTTGGCAGCACTGTAGGAGGTGACAGACCATTGTCATGGAAACTGTCATATTTGGAAAATCTAAAAATAAGCATTTGTCACGTGGCGAGTCAATGAAATAAAAGGTGGTGACTGAAATTAAATAAACAACCAGTCACTTTTTTCCATTTTTTTATCCTTTCTTTCTTTGAAAATTGCTTAATGATAAAATTTTATCAATGCAGAGAGATTCTGGTAAACAGAAATTTCATTAAAATGTCCAATATTTCCATTCAAAATGTTGATCTTTCAGAATCCATCAATTTGTGATTGAAAGAATGACGTGGAAAGAGAGTTCTTTAATAATTCAAGTTCGCTGTACTTAGGGTATTTAAAAAGGGAACCGCTACCATTCTTTATCTTTTGCAATGCTGTCAAGTTCAGGTAGGACAAAGCATAGCTGATTATTCATATCTAATAAAGACTTAACTAAAAGTAACATTTTTAACATGAACTAAAAAGGTTTTTTTTAAGCTAGTATGCATATGTATGAAATTTTATAAATAAAAAAATTATAAAATAAGATTCATTATGCATTTTCTAGGACACAATTCTTTATTTAAATTAATAAAAGCTTTAAGTAAAAAAAAATAATTGATATTGTTAACTTGTAATAGTAATTGTAGTAAAATATTCCAGTGACATGCATACCTGATGACTTTTATGATTTTCAAAATAGTTTTTTTCTAGAGGTAGGATGATGCGAATGAAATTGAGAATATATGTTGGTGCTTCTTAAAAATTTACCCAATTAAAAACACTATCGGAGAGCTAGCAAGCCTATTATATATATGTTAAATTATTCTAATTTAATGATAGTCAAAATCCTTTTAAGCCGTATTTATTTAATGAAGAATAAAATGTGATTCGATAAATTCTGCCAATACATTAAATATAAAATTGTCCAGGAAAACCGGAAGAGTTGGCAAGTATGATTATGGTACAGACAATGCTTGTTTCTACCTAATATTTTCCACAAGTACATTTTCTGTTATGATTTAAATTTTCAAACAGAATTTTTTTTTTAACCTTTCCTCTAGGATTTAAAATATATCTGATTTTTCCAGGTATCTTACAGCCTTTCCAAGTAAATAGACACCCTGTTTTACCTTTTAAATTATATATCATAAAAGACACGAATTATACAATAACCAAAAAAAAATATATAATTAAAATTATCATANTAAAATATATCTGATTTTTCCAGGTATCTTACAGCCTTTCCAAGTAAATAGACACCCTGTTTTACCTTTTAAATTATATATCATAAAAGACACGAATTATACAATAACCAAAAAAATATATATAATTAATATTATCATACAATAAATTTAAAAACTGAGATAAAAAACAAAGCAACAAGCATCATAAAAACTGAGAACAAAGAAAGCATTTCACAAACATTCAAATTAGTTTTTATGTAATAATATTGGTAATTGTATAATAAGAGGCCCAGTGGCTGAGTGGTAGCACTCCCGCACCACAGGTCCAGGGTTCGATCCTCCGGCCGGGCAAGGTTGACTCAGCCCATCATCCCTTCAGTGGGTTGATAAATGAGTACCAAGCATGCTTGGGAACTAAACAGTGGGGGTTTCGCGTTCAACTAACCACCTAACCACAAATTCTGCTCCTGCACCCCAGAGCCCAACATCAAGAAAACTGAGATGGGCATAGTAAGCCTTGGCCCTCAATGGGCTGTCGCCCCACTGAGTTTAGTTTTAATTGTATAATAAAATAGGCAAGTACACACTTATATAAATTTTGAATTTCATTTCTGATACATAAAAACAGCTAGAGTAAATATGAATTATATTAGTGATGAGCAACCTCTTGTAAACACCTGTGTCCATGTCTTTCTATGAATTTTCTAAACTTAACCCCAGCAGATGACTGAGATGTTTGCAACCAGTTTAAGGCTTCCTGAAAAGGAAAATGAGTCTCAAACAATATAATTATTCAATAATTTTGATTTGTAATGCAAATTTGAATTAAACAATTCACCAAAATTTTTAATGTCAAACAAAACAAATAATTAAATTATTCTAGGTGATTTAAACCAACAGATTCAGTTTAATTATGTATGGGTGCATACTTTATTTCAAAAAAGAAAAAAAAAATATCAGAGTATTCAGAATGTAGTAATATGCACAGTAACAGAATACATTAGTTAGGAAAAACAAGATTAGTATAATTAGACAAAATACAGGAATAAAATTTTAAAATCATGAAAAATTTAAAGCTAATATATATCATGATAAATATAAAATAACAACTCCATCACAATATCTGGCAGGATTATAGAATACCATTATATGTCCACATAATGATACAACAGCAAATCTAACTCTCGAGTTTAAACAATTCCCAATGTTTTAAAGAATTTCAAATAAAAGACTTTATTATTAACTATATTTTTTATCTTTAGTTCAAATTATAAATCAAAAACTTCATTCCAATAATTGCGTTCAAAATTATTCAAATATTTATTAAAGCAAGAAAACCATCACTATGCTATAATAATTTTTTTCTTTGCTTAAAATTGTTGCATTAACATACATAATGTTCATGATTAATATATATACATATATATATATATATAACCATGGCTGAAAAACCACGAGTTTTTTTTTAATCAATCGATTACAATAAACAGGTTTGAACTTTTGATTTGAATCACAGCCCATATTATAATTGTGAAAATTCAATTTTTATTTCAGATTAACAAGAATAAAGGGATGATGTAATATTCAGTTTAGACAGGAATTTTTTATTTAAAATGAATTCGATATTTTTAAAACTGTTTAATTATTTTCTCTGTTAACTGCAGAATTTAATTTAATTCTGCTTTATGCTTGGAGTAAAGAGAAAATTTAAACTTAAGTTAGGTCAGAATTCAGAACAAAAAACACTTGAACAATAAAGTTAAAATTTACGATAGGAGCACGTAACCTATGCCCCTTGCAAAACCCAATGTGCAAAACAATTTTAAACAAAATATTAATCTAAAATTACAACATAAATAGCATGAGACACTTCATAACTGACGTTTAAACTATTTCAATAAACATAGAAAAAAAAAACTCTATCAAAATTATAATTATAAATTACAAAATGTAGATGTATTTATTCAAGCTCTCAAAAGATTTAAATCTTAAAGGGGAAGATTAATTTAAAGGAGAAATGATACTTATAAATGATACTAATAATGACCAAGCGCTAAGGAAGGTTATTAATAATTGACATAAAACTGAATTCATTGCACATCTAAAAGTTTATATTTCTGTTATTTGCTTTGTTTTTATTTCTGTTATATTTTTTTAAAGCTTTGCACCCAAATTAAAAAAAAACCTAATTTACAAATAAACAAATGAATAAAACTGATATAAAATCATAGCATAGAAAGAGAGGCATATTTATTTTTTACAGCAATAAATATATGCTATATAAAATATTGAATATCCAAGCGATAGATGAATGAAAAAGGTAACATCAGATATTACCTCCGAGCTCATTTTCTTAAAATCTTCAGGCTTCATTTCTTGAGCAATTTGGAATGCTATATCCTGTGAAATGCAGAAGAAATAATTTGACGTTTGCAGTTTAAAATACACAATTAAATTAGTTTGATGTAAATGATATTTTAAGTAAGTATCTGAAAACTTCTCCAGATAAGGATCTGTTGCTTCTTTTTTTTTTCTTCTTCTTTAAAAATATATTTATCTACAACATTCATCCCAATTTTGGGGGAAAATTAGCATGTATTTAAGCTGAATAATTCATTTTTGTATCATATATGAAAAGATGGAACATATGTTAAATAAATATTTCCGCATAGCTTGCAAAATCAATAAGACACAAAAGATCACAAGACAATTAGAATCATATACAATAAAAAATTTATTTAATTTTATTGTATATTTTTAAAGTTATAGCAAAAAAAAGGCAATTTTTTTTAAAATAAAAAATGTCTACACTTTCCTAAATATAAGCAAAACTTCCAAACTTTTTTGAAATCATTGCATATAATAACCAAACAAATTGTTTACAAGTTATAAATTTATTTAATTATTTAGAATTCATTTTTTGCATGGAATTATCTTTGGATAAGCGAATTTCAGAATTCTGTGCGAAATTTTTTTCGGTTTACTTGAAAATTTTTCAAGATATGGTAAAACTAACTACACTACACTCTCGATTATCCGTGTGCGGATTATCCGGTTTGCGGATTAACCGTGCTCATTCCGGAGTCACACAAAAAATATAAAGAGAAAAATTTTCAAGATTTAAAAAATTTGATTCATGAAGTTATAACACTACCAAATTTTTGGAAGCAATATTCGTTATTGGATTGCAGTATATGGAATATCAGCAGCATGGTCAAAGGTAAAATCGTCTACGTTATCACGATCTTGGAGAAAGATCATACCGCTTGATGAACAATCCTCTTCAGATGTTCAAGAAAAATATGATAACAGTATTCTCGAACAAGCAAAAGAAATCTAAGGTTTCGAAATTCTTGATGAAGAAAATTTAGAAGATTTATTTCAAAATGATGCATGTTAGCCTGGCTTCCAGTATTTGACTGATGAAGACATCGTTATGTTGTTAAATCAAATAGTGATGATAGTAACTAATGCAGAAGATGTAGTAAATGAATGAAATAAAATTTCTCATTCTACTGCTCTGTGGAAGCTTTATGGGAGGATTTGATTATGGTGACATTACTGCGGCTCGTAAAATATGTGTATCGATATATGGTGAAGACGCATTACACATTTTTTAAAAAGGAAAATTCCTAGTTTGATGTTATGCATGCAAATGTCAGTAATTTTTATATTTTTTGTACTGATATCTAATTTTTCTTTAACAAAAGGAGTTTTCGGATTATCCGTGTTTTTCGATTGTCCGTGCGACCTGTCCCGGTGATTACCCCGGATAATCGGGAGTGCACTGTATAACTAAGATAAACTTCGGATAAGATAATGAAGATAAACTTCACATTAAGGAGTTTAAACTTTGGATCACTCTTCTGAAGCAAACTATTGACACTATATTTTCAACATTGCGGCTACACTTGATATTTTGAAGGTAAGGAAATTAAATCTGTAAAAAAAGGCATGTTTATTCAGAGAAAGTACGTTTTAATATCTGATTTTATGACTTAATATCATCTGCAGCAATTCATTAGGATATTTGAGGTCACACGTTTAAACAATTAAGATTGAATCCTAATGCATGAAGATCCAATCGCTAGATCAAAAGTTATTCAGAATGCTCTATTTCTTTTTTTGGTGAAGTGCCCCCACCAAAATAGAAAATGTGCATAGAAAAAGTTAATAGATAATTGTTGCAGAACTGAAAAGTAAGTACCATCATTAGACTAGACTAAGGCACAAAGTTGTGACAAAAATGTAATATAATTAAAAAATATATAATTCTTGATTTACTTAAGTTGAAATTATTAATTAAGTAGAATTCATACTTGAGTAGCTGATGGTACATCTGCACTTTCCACATCTTCATTTGTTTTGAGTAGTTTAGCAAAATCCTTGTAAACAATGTCATCAAAATCTGAATAAATAAAAATAAAAGTCATGACAGAAAAATACCACTAATTTATGCAGTGATAAGCTTTTCTTTTTTTAAGACAATTTTAAAATTAAACAAATACATAAATTCAGCCAAAATTTACCTCCATGAGCAGCTCCTAAGTTAGAGAATATGATCATATTCAGTATCGAGGATGTTTGAGTACAAGTCATATGACATTCAGAAGACTGAAAGAAAAAAAAAATCACAGAAAAATTAATTATTAAGTAAAAGAAGAAGAATATTCAAAACTTCTAGAAAAGATTACTTAATCAGGAATATTTGAAAAAAGCAGACTAAGAGTCCAAGTGGCAGTTGAAATTCTTAAGGTGCAGTGTAACCAGGCACTTTTACTTGATTTATGGTTGAATTAAATTATTCATAAAAAGTAAAGCCCATTATTTAAGTTTTATTAAAGAACTTAAATTATGTGCATTGTTTTTCAGAAAAAAAACCGTTTTTACATAATCTCTTAAATATGTGTTGAATTTTGCTATCAAAACTTAATCCTTACTTGCAAGTTTATTCGAATATAAAGAGAGAACAGATTTGCTTAAAAACTGCAATTCATTCTTAAAAATTTGTTTAAAATACAAAGAGTTTATACACCGAATAAAATTTTTTAAGTGCCATGTAACCTGATAATTAAATTATACACAAAGTAGTAAAGCATAATAATTTAAGAGTTTTTTTTTCTCTATGATGCATTTTATATTTACATTTTTTAAAAGATGTGTGTTAAAACTTGCTTTGAAACTCATCCCTTTTCATATATTAATACTAGTAACAAGAGATCAGCAATACTTAAAAACTTTATTTTAAATTTGTTTTAAAAGTTCTTACTAGAGAGAAATCTGTGCAGGTGTGTAGAATACCATCAAACAACTCTTTCGATGTGGTATATTTCTCAACAGGAAATCTGTATTTCGAATATGTTTCTTTGGCTCTTTTTAAAACGCTACTAGTAGACAGTACAGACTGAAATGAAGATTGTACATTTAGGTAATAGACTAAAATATTTTATCTATTTTTGCAAAATATTAGCAAAATGTTTTAAAATTTTTTCTTCTTCTTATAACGTATGATAAAGATAACCCCAAAATTTATATCACTGATTAAAAGAAGGTATATTGTGAGAGAAACTTAATGTTAAACTAATAAAAATTACATAGAACTTTCAAACTTAAATATTGAAAATTACATTTAAAATTTTAAGAACACAATGATAAATAAAAAAACAATATTCAATGAGAAAAATATTTAAATTTGCTCTGTCTTCACAAAGATCGCAAAATTTATGGGTTGTAAAAGTGGAGTGCTGCATATAAAATTTTTTTTTTCTATGGATCCATTTAAAATAATTATCTGTTTTCCAACAGAGAAAATTAAGGAAGACCAAGTAAAATGTTGTTTTATTTTTCAAGAGTGGAGAAAACTCAAGTGAAACTTTATCAACGTGTTTCACTCTTAATGTCACTTTATTCTTAGAGGGAGGAAAAAATAAAAATGAAACTTTCTCTCAAAGTGGATATTAGCAGTATACTGCCTTGCAAAACAATAAACATCAACGTAAGCGACAAAAGATTCAAAATTGAGATTCATATATTTAGCATGTAACATAAATTACATGTTGCAAAAAACATTTTTTCTTAAAAAATAAATTTCGCTTTGTCAATTTTCTGAAATTTAATTTTAGCATAAGCAATAGGAAGAAAAAAGTAGAGAAGCTCTTTTCTCAGAATCTATTGCGAAGCACTTACGTTGTTTTTTCAATTGCACGGCAGTATAGTGATGCAAAGTTCAACAAACCATTACAAGATGCGCAGTTTACCTTTTTAAACTGTTTGATTCTATTTATAAGTTATACTATTTTACGTTATATATACATTACTATACATGTTTGATACTAGTTATATTTTTTATGCTTATTATAAGAACTTGGGCAATATGTTTGTCTCATTAGCTATACATTTCTTTTCTCTAAATTAAAAAAAAAAAACATTTTAAATGTAATGTTTTCAATGTTAAAAAGAGTTATTCAAATAGGAACAATACTTATTGGATAAATATATAAATTTATTATGTCCTTAAACTGAGCAGATAATCTTCGAATATAATATCCTTGAACTAGGTTATCATGTTCATCGCACTAAAATTACAGTTGGTTTGAATGAAATTTGATTTAATGTCACATAATTATTATTTTGTGTTAAATATTTTTAATTTGATATAAATAAATTTTCAATAGTCATACTTTGAAAAACCTGATAATATATATGAAAAATTGCTTTTTAGCAAATAAAGTATCAATATCTAAACTGTTACAACCACTGTAGGCTTGTAACAAGTATTCACGACATTGTGACAGCATTGTCCTCATTAGCTAACACCTTCTAGGTTATCTAAAAATGATACAATATGAAGAAAGGCCAGTTTTTTATGTGAATGAAAAACATCTGCGATCTAATATAATTTAATATTTCTAAAGTTACTCTGCATTGTTTAGACTTATAAAAATATGAAAAAATAAGAAAATTTTTCATTGCTTTTTATAATTTTTCTCTACATAGTCTCACCAAATTAGTGATTTTTAAGAAAGTTTAACAATTTAACAGTGTCTATGCTTCAGAAAAGACAAATAAAATTACACTTTTTTAAAAATTGTCAATTTGATGAAATTTTAACGCCATAAGCAGAGTTGTAGTGGTAACATTTTAAATAATATTAATAATAAAAAAATAGACCACTAATTATTTTAATATTTTACAAAGCTGTGGCTTACAAATGATACTGGCTAAAGATAGATTTAACTTGGAACATGTTGCAAACTCAAAAACATATGAAAGAAGTATATTATAAAAAAAAAAGGTGCTATTTCCTTAAAAAAAAATTGCTTTACATGAAGTTAAGACAAGTCTTTGAGCAAAGAATTTAGTTTCAAACTAAAGTCATATTTAGAGTTTAAGACACTATAACTATTTTATTTTCTCAGTGAAAGTGCTTTGAAGAATATTTTTTAACGGGAAAAAATCACACTCTTCAAATATACACATATATTCAAGTTACAATAGTATTTTCAAGTTCAAAACAGAATTTTAAAAATTGAGTTGCAATTTTTAAAAAAAATTCATACTTTAACAATCAAACTTAAGGATTTAGGTTCAGGTATTAAGCCATATCTTGCTCGAGAAACATCATACATTTCTTCATTATCCGGAACTCTCCCAAAAAAGGATATAATTGCTGATTTTTTCAATGTAGAAAACTCTTCATTTGCACCCAAAGGAAACACCTAAATTTATTAAAAATTAAGTAATTACTTGAAATAAAGAATAACATACAAATGTATGGTTGACATTTATCAGAAAGCAAATGCATCATTTTTACTAGCATTGATAAAAATGCAATGCATAAAATACATAAATATATGGCTGATATTTATCAGAAAGCAAATGCATCATTTAGTAACATTGATAAATGTGCAATGCATAAAATACATCTCCAAAATGCAGAAACATTTTCATGAAAGGAACTGATACAAAAAGTTACCAGGAATTGTTTTGAACTTTTAAGTACAAATCAATTTTTTGGAAATTAAGAAAGAAATCAAGTTTTATTCTTACTTATTATTTTGCAAGTTCTTAAAGTAATTTTAACTATATATTTTTAAAATAAATATTTTAGTACCAATTAAGAACATGACGAAATATTAAGAAATATTTATTCATATTCACACAAGCAAATTTTTTGTGAAAACCATTATTTTCCGAATTTTTTCTATAACCAATCTTAATCTTTTTATGCTCTTCTTGATAGAGAATATTTAATTTATAAAATGCTAGGAATCTATAAAATATTTGTTATTTTGTTGAGTGTTCACTGTTCTTTAATTCCCTCTTAGAAATAGAAGTATAGAGTAAACATGTCTCCTTCCATTGAAATAACATCGATTATTCTTTTAGTGGTCCATGAGCATTTGAAAATATGGTGAGAGTGATAAATTATAATTCTTAACGTCTAGTTTAAATATTAGTCAACATATATAATGGCTAGATGAAATGAAAAATTGCCGTACTGAAGCAAAATAAATTTTTATTAACGCTTGGCCACAAGTCGCTTTGGCTCAGGGGATAGAGCGTTTGCTTTCCAGTGTGAAGAAGGGGTTCGAATCATAGAAATGGCCGGTCGATACAAATTCCCCACCAGTCTCGCACCGACCACAGTATCCTCAGTGGTAGACAGATCATTGATTAGAGTCCTTTCTCCATGTAACGTAAATGCGGGTCAGTTCCATTAAAAAGTCCTTGATGTTAGTAAAATTTCCTCCCAATACTTGATCCAGGAGTTCTCTTGTTTTCTGGATTCAAAATTGCTAGGCTATGGTGTTGAACATTAGTTGCCATAAATCCAAAATTGTGTCACTTGTTCAACGAAGGTTATAAAATAAAAATAATAAACGCTTGGTCACAAGAGGCATTCTCATTACATGCATTGGCAGATTTTAAAACATTTTCACCACTCTAAATCAAAAAATAAGTTGCGTTTGAACCTTGTTTCTTTACTAAACTAATAATAAAAGTAGTTGCCAAGAATTGCTACAAAGTGCTATTTTTTTTCTTTTTTTCTCTTTTTGTATCACACTTCTCACTACAGCACCTCTTTGAGAAACTAGTGAATTGCACTTCAAACAATGAAAAAAAGTAGTGGCTACAGTAGTTTTGCCATGTGTCGCACACTAATTTTACAGTTTGTTTCAATTGTAATGATTTAAATAAGAAACCTAGAAATGTACATACAAGCTGGGCGCTGCAAACTAATATTTTTGGGAGGGGAGAAATTCTCATTTTGCTGAATGAAATTCTTAATTTGACCGAATCTTATATGAAAGTAAATTTCATTTGCTTCAAATTTTTTTTAATTAGTTTGTTGCTAGTATTTTCACAATATATTATTTTATGCCACAAAATATATTACTGACTTATTTTATATTTAATTACTTATACCAATAAAAGAGCGAGATGGCTCAGTGGTTAAGACCTTGAACTACAATTGGGAAAAAACTGGGGCTCGACCTTCTACCTCAGTCGCGACTTGAAGCCCATGGTCTGTGCACAATGCTGACCTCACTGCCACAATCAGGCCATTGGTCACAAAATTGAGCCTCCAAGGCTCCCCTGGCTTACAATATCGACTAATGTGGGAAACGCTTCACTTTTATTGAAAGCCAATAAAAAAATAATGCACCTTTTGATAAATAAACATAAAAAAGAAAATTTATTTGCAGCTAAAGTGAAGAAAATATTTTTTAATAATCTATGAATTGAATAATAATTAATTAGGTAACAGAACAAAGAATAGAAATAAAATATCCTGAAAATGGTCCATTATTTGCACCAGCTGTAAACAAACGAATGAAAATTCAAATCAAAAAGAGTTAAATTGACTCATTATTCTACAAGTTTTACAATTTAATTTGAATTTCTGCTGAAAGCGGAGCGGTTGATATCCCTGCATGATTACAGAACATCCAATAATGTTTTCACATTGAATAACATTTAATACAAATACTTTACAATGAATAGCATGAAACAAAATTATTGAACAAATGATTACACATTAACATTGGAAATTGAATAGGATTACTAACTCACATCGGCAACATTAAAAATAAAATGATTAAGCATCATAAGCCAACCCTTTGAAAAGTACTGCGTCTTTCCTTTAAGTTGAAAAAGGGAAACTTTTTTATCACTCTGAAAAAGAAGTGCATAAATTTAATATATAATTTTATAAGTTAAAAATATAGATAAACATAAGATTAGAATTAAATGAGATGAATTAATTCAGAGATTAATTTAATTTGAAACACACTTATATTATCATTATTTTTATGACGCTTATACTTATTTAATAAAACTTAATTAATAATTGAAGACAGAATGCCACTGATCTTCTTAAAATATACATCCACAGTAAATTTATTAATCTCACACTATATATATATATATACACATATAAAACATGTTCAAATTAAACCACACCATTAAAACTATGTTTAAATGAGCAATAAATAAGAAATTGTGAAAAATTAAATGTAAGAATAGTTTATGACATGAGGCATAAAAGATAGATTTTTTAAAGTTAATTTGTTTTCTTAAATTAGTTTAACAATTAATACATTGTTTACACAAAATTCTATTATAAGAAAATTTTTTTCTTAAAATATATTTTAAACATATAGCAGCAAATTGAATGAAATATAATTTAATACTCCGAGTTTATCAATAATGATTTATTAAAAATATAATAAAAAAACCTAAAAGGCAATAAAAATTACATTAGTTACATAATCTGTAAATTTTGAGTAAATTAAGTGAAAATTGAAGAAGTTACTAAACCGTTTATTATGCAAAATGCTGTTTTGTTGAATATTTACAAACAATTATTTAATCAAATTTTTTACTTTTCTGCGTCTCAACTTTAAGATTCAAGAAAATATTTACCAAATTATAGATTTATAAAAAAAAAATACAATCAAGTTATGTAAAAATAATTAATATATTTTTNGTTGGAACGATCATGAGTCACAATCACCCCAATTTAGGAATTCCTAATGATTTATTACCAGCCAACATTAAAAATTAAAAAAAAAAATTTTTTTTGAAAATATTAATAGATAATAAATGAGCTAACGCAAAAACTATTAAACAATTTTATAAAATATTGATAGTTAAGTAAACTAGTACAAAGAGAATGCGTAAAATAAAAATATGATAAAATTTATGCTCACATTTAAGACAATTCTAAAACCTTTTACAGTCACATCCAAGCCTAAAGTAGAAAAGGCTTTTGGCACTACCTCTCTAAAATGAAATATAATTAATGTACAATTTATCAAATGTTATATTAAATTATGAAAACGCATCTAAATACAGTGAAAATCAGGAACAATCCACTCACAAAACCTTGCTATTTTATTATTTAAATATTATTAATTAATCATAATAAATAATACTTAATCCATAATCTTTTAATCCCAATACTTAAAAATTACAGTCAGTTATTGAAATTGATAAAAAGGGTTAAGGGTTCTTTTAAATATCAATAATTTAATTTATTTTATAGTTTGCTATGACAGTCAATGGAATTTAATTACACTAAAACACAGTTTAAATGTGCAGTTATATTTTTCATTAAAAGATAAATAGGAAATGCACAAATCTAAACAAAAATGAGAAGGAAAATAAAATTTCTTCTTCAGTGACACAACAGCCCTGGGTGAGTCCAGACTTTCTCAAGAATTTTCCACCAGACCTCTAAAATTTTTGGTCATGGTCTTCCAATCAGTAGGTCTTAAAATGGTGGGATTCCTTTCTAGGCAGGGTCGACCCTTAACTCTTGTTCCAGAGTTTCGGCAGAGAATATTTTCAATGTTGGACACTTTTTGTTTATTCTAATAACATGATCAGCCTACTAAATACTTTGGATTTTTATGTATTTGATGACGTTGGGTTTTTTGAAGGCACAATAAAGTTCTAAATTTGAGTGTTTGTGCCATAAGCTTGTATTTCTCCAAAAAATAGTTCCGATGAGTATGTGACTATAGGTCTGATTAAACATTTAAAAATTAATAGCTTAGTCTTTCTATAATTAAGTTTGAAATTAGATAGTTCTTTAATCTGTAAAAGCATCTGTTGGCAGCATTGTTTAGCATCTGAATTTTACATGTAATGTTGTTGTCAATGTTAACCTCAAAGTCCAAATATGTAAAGATATCAACTTTTGTAAATTTATGCTTACCAATTTGCAGATAGGTAGAAGAGTCTGTTACCTTACTGCACTGCATGTATTTAGCTTTTTTCTGGTTGCTGTTATACATATTTTACTTGCATCCTTTTCCAGGACTGAAAAAGGGCTTTTCCACAGCTTGCTTTAATGTCAATGTCTTCGATAAATGCAAAAAATTACACAGATTTATGAAATATATTTCCTCTGGTGTTGATTTTTTGAGTCACAAATGATCTTTTCTAATGCTATGTTGAAAAGTAAGCATGCCAAAGCATTACTCCTTCATTAAAAATCGTTCTGAATTTTAACTCGTTGCATGGTCTTATCTAGTGTAAGGGCAGTGAGTCTTACAAGCTTGTCAGGTTCATGGAAAGCTTCAATGAATAGTTTTATATTTATACTGTCATAAGCAGCTTTAAAATTAACAAAGAAAGAAATGTTGAGTTCCAATCCCAAATTATCTGGTTTTTTTCTCCAGAATCTGTAAGATGTTAAATATTTTGTCATTGTAGATCTACCCCTTCTGAATCTGCACTGATAATCTCAAAAAATGTTTTCCACATATGATTTAAGTCGATTAAACAGTATGTTTGAAAAAAAAATATTAGTACATAGCAGACAAATTTTTTTTGTTGTTAGCACATTCGAGTATGTCTCCTTTTTTGTATATGAGTCAGATTGTGCTAAGTCGCCATTCTTCTGGGAGTGTCACATGTTAACTCCAGAAGAGTCTGTTCCTCCAAAAGTGTTTAAATTGTAAATACTACTAAAAACATATTTTGCATTTTTTTTAAAAAATTTATATATATAAATCTTTGTATTTTTTAATTTATATTATTTAGAAAAGATCGTTTTTAAATGATTTTGTCACAGAAAAGTGCTATTTAAATTATTATAAGTTTTGAAAACTTTCATAATTTGCAATTCACTAAGAAAAAAAAATAGAATCTAGGCTTAATGCTACATTCAAAAAAGCTAGAAAAAATTATTTTCAAAATTTTGTATTTTTCATTAAATAAATAAAATTACTTTTAGAGAAAAGCTTAAAGATATCATCATAGCTGTCAAAGTTTTGACTTCCATTGATATGAATTTAATTACTTAACTATTAATGAAAATAAATCATACCCAACATTAGAAACGGAATAGAAGTCATTTTCAACTCTCATTGCACAATCAAATTCGTGATCAATTTCATGAAAAGTTTCCTTCGAGCTGCTGGTAACAGGTCTTGACTGATACATTTAAAAAAAAATCAATTAAATAAATAAAATAAAAATACAGGATTACAAATATAATATGAAGTTCAATCAAGAAACATTCATACATTAAAAACATGTAAAAAAAGAAAAAAAGCATGTAAATTAAGTTTAATTAAAAACCTAATTACAATTTTAAAATATGAGGAAAATATATCTGATTTAGGTAGCGAAATGAGAATTTCATTGGATATCAGAAGTCTTGGATCAGACTATGTAAATTAGGTTAAATTAAAAATCTAACTTCAATCTTAAAATAAGAGGAAAGTCTCTTCCTCCAACAAAACTTAACTGATTTGTTTAAATATAAATTTTGTTTAATGTGAGGAGAAATCAACTTTAAATCTTAAAATGTGAAGAAAATGTCTCACTCTGAGAAAAATATAACTGATTTGATTTAAATATCAAAACCGATATTTAATTGGGCATAGGAAGTCACAAAACAAAAGTTTACTAACTGCATTGCTTTTAAAGATATAAACTAAATAAAACAAAAATGGCGTAATAAATTGTTTTTCTTTCAATAAAAAATATTTTTTAACTTTATTTTGGAGAGTAATAATTTCTTTAATTTTTATAATTAATTTTAATAAAAAAATATACATGCTGTGAGCTTATTTAGACTGCAGCAAGTTGATTTAGATCTGTACAATTTAAAAAGTTATTTTTGGATGGTAGAGCAAACAGCTGGCTGCTTTGAAAGAAATTATTGATTCAGAAATTATTAAAAGTATAAAAATATAATTATTGAAAATAATTAAAAAATTAGTAAAATATGAAATTTAATTTAACAGGCTATACTATTGATTCAATTAAAGCTAATTTCTAGAAAATGTAGAATCAATCAGTGATAACATGAAGAATGTAAAGTGATTAAGTTAACCCAAAGTACGGGGGACAAAACTGCTGATTTTAAATTTTATAGTAATAAAATGGAGTGTTGGGATGTGAGCTGATTATTAAATTAGTGCAATGCTTGAAATGAAAAATAGACCATCTTAAAAACTTTTAATCTATTGATCATGATTGGATCCAATTTGCGAGCTTATTTTGGAAGAATTACAGAGGGAAAAATGGAAAAAGGTATCATTTTAAAAATTTTGATCTACTAGTCCGATTGTTTCGAGATAAGACTCATAGGTCGAGGGACTAACAATCCATTAAATTTGCTTGAAAAGTGCAAATATATATATATAAAAGATTTAGATGATTTGATTGAACAAAATTTGGCCAGAAGAACTGTGCGATAGCCAGATCAAACACTAAACAAGTGTAGAGATCATTTTAATAATATATTTTAATGTTCAGCATACTAGATTCACAACATATATAGATCACAATGATGTGATTGAGAGTTCATTATTTGTGGAAATAAATTTACCTTATGTATAATAAAACCTTTAATTACAAAACAGTTAAAAATTAACAAAAAATACTCACCTGAAAAATATGCAATTTTTCATGATAGAAGCCCCATTCTATATCACGATGGGAACGATAGTATTTTTCAATCTGCAAAAAAACATTATAGATTTAAGAATTTTATTTTTAAAAATTTATACAAATTTAAAAAAATAAAACTTAATTAAATAAAATAGCATTCCAACACCACAAGTCATTTAATTAAATGAATATGTTTTGGCAATATAAAGAGTACCTTCTGAAAATACAATGTGATGTTTTAAATCATACAAGCAGATTAACGTAAAATTAAAAAACCATCTGCAGGCATTGATTAACTCTTGTAATTAGTTTCAACCCTTTCCTCACCACCTCATTTGGAAGAAATTTGTTTGAAAATCATGGATTTTTTTTAAAAAAATGTTTAATTTTATTGATTTATACCATAGGGATGAGTTCGTTAAAAAACCAAACGAGCTGAAAATAGAAACCCCAAAATGTTATGTGCAGTACACTTTTTAAATAAATGAATCATACGTCTCTTTCGAAGGAAAAAATAGGCTTAACCAAACAAATGTACTTAAATTGCTCATGTATTGATTAAAAAATCCAAATTTTCAACAAAAAATTTATTACCCTAATGACTATTTATAAAAATTAAGATTTATCTTAGTTACATTTTATTGATCAATTTTTTTTAACCTAATCAGCAAATATATAAAATTTTAGATTTTAAAAATGTATGATTCTGAACAAGGAGTAAGAAAGGAATGAACTAACTAAATAAATAATATTTAAAAAAAAAATGAATATGTGATAAATATTCATTTACATTATGTAAAAAAATAAGTCTGAAGTATCAAGCAGTTTTAAATACAAATCATTTTAAAAGAATATTGTATGATTTGAAACTAAATAACTATCACAGACATACAAATTAGGTAAAATATTGCAGGAAAATTAAGCTTTTTAAAAGAGGTATTTCTTCAACATAATGCTCAATCAAATCATAAAAAACTTTCCTTGCTAAAAAGGTGAAAGATTTCCACATTTATCATTCACAAAATTAGAAAAAGTAATTGATAAATTCCAAAAATGGTCAAATAAATAAATATGATTTAATATAAAAATTACAGTATGCAAAAAAAAAAAAAGAAAGATTACCTCTAAATAACTTTTGATTTAGTGATTGAAACTTCATGCACTAGGATTAAATTATGAATCCTAGTTAGTACATGAAGTTTCTATTAAAAGAAAGACACAAAACTCTTCTCTGATTAAACATACCTTTTTTGTTGATGACGGATTTCGGTGCCTTACTCTCAAAATAAGGACAGTAGCTGGAATATATGGTCTTAATTGTCTGGTAAGGAAGAGCTGTTCAATGTTCAGACTCTTTAATTTGAATTTCACTTTTTGCATATTTTTTCCATGTTTCAAGAATTTTAAGATAATAAAAAAAAAATTTGCACACCATTATAAAATTAATTTATCTAAAAATTCCACGCAAAAATTAACTTTCAGTAATTATTATTTTTTTATTTGTCTTAATAACAGTCAAAAATTTTTTTTAATTATAAGGTATAAAAATTTCATAGAAAAGAACCATTAAAACACTTTAATGAATGTAACTTTATAAGATAAAATACCAAATTTGAACAAATTAAGTCAAATGATTCATAAAAAATAAAAATTTAAATAGACAACTTCATTAAATTACATTTCTCTTTAGCCATATTTGAATGATTTTTTTCAAATGTTGTATTTCACCATATAAAATTAAAATCTATAAAATGATATAAAACTTTACTGGTCATACAATTCTAAATTTTTTTTTAATACCATTATTTAAATAAAATAAAAAGTAATAAGTAGGTGCCTAAAAAACAATTTTTTGCATAGAATTACTTTTGAATAATGCGGGTTTTATGTAATCATAACCAAATCTGGTTTTTATGTAATCATAACCAAATCTGGTTTTTATGTAATCATAAACAAAACAATTTTCAATTTGATTAAAAAAGTTCTTGAGAAATGGCGAAATACACAAAAAGTAAAATTCCAGATTGCGGCTACCCCCTATATTTAGGGGGTCATTAAAAAAGGGTATGAGAAAGTATGTTTTTATATCTGATTTCGTAACTTAAAACAATCTCTCACGCAAAATAATTAGCATATTTGAGGGCACCCCTTTAAACCAGTAAGATTGAGTTTAAGTATATAAAAATCTGATAACTTAGGGTATTTTCTTTTTTTTTTGTGTGGGTGTGCACATTTTACAAACATAGAAAAAAGTTAATAGATAATTGCCAAAGAAATGAAAAACAAATCCCACCATTAGACTATAATTTAATATAAATATTAAAATACATAATTTACTGTACCTTTATAGCAACACTTCCTAATTGGAGAATCATTTCATCAGTGAGTGAACATACATTTTGCTGGCTTTCAGAAACTTCTTCAATCTTTGTCTCAGTTTCTGTAACATAAATAATTAAATAAGTATTTTTTCCTTCACATTTTACAATCCATACCAATCCAGTCATGGTGGCTGAGGGGATAGTTGTTGTTGTTGTAGTTCATTTACGCCACACTAGAGCAGCTGCACAATGGGCTATTGGTGACGGTCTGGGAAACATCCCTGAGGATGATCTGAAGACATGCCACCACAATTTTGATCCTCTGCAGAGGGGATGGCGCCCCCGCTTCGGTAGCGCAACGACCTGCGTGCGAAGTCGAGCTCTTTACGGTAGCGCAGTTTAACGAGGACCAATACCGCATATCCTCGGTCCCTACGCAGACTGATCCAAGTGGGTCACCCACCCGCACACTGACAGCAGCCAGTGATGCTTGACTTCGGGGATCTGCTGGGAACCGTGTCTTAATGATCAGTCCACTGCGGGTTGCTGAAGGGATAGAGCGTTCGTTATCATGAGTTCGAATCCCAGTGACAACTTGACCGTTACGAATTCTGCACCCGGCTCTGACCGACTACATAAACCGATAAAAAATATCCTCAGTGGTAGACAGAACATGGATTATAGTCTCTTTGCCATCTGGCTAATCGTGGGAGGCTTTCCCCCTCATGTAACACAAATGCGGGTTAGCTTCATAAAAAAATAAGTCTTCCACAAAGGCAAATATCTTCCAATACTTGATCCAGGAATTCTTTTGCCTTCTGGATCAGGTTCAAAATTACAAGGTTGCGCAGTTGAATATTGAAAACACATAATTGTGTCTGCTGTTCAACGATGGTTAGGATCGATACTAATCAAACCCACCTAATAAATAGGACAAAAATCAAGATCACTTAAAGAAGTAAACTATACTATCATAAATTCTACTTCTGGTTTATCTATGCATGCTAGGATTTATTTGGAGATTTCACTTCTCAGAAATTAATAACATTTGTAAACTGTTAAGATTAAGGATAATAAAGTTATAAGGGTTTTTATAAAGTTCATACTCCAATTTTAAGGAACTAATGATAAAAAATAAATAAATAAGCTAAGAAAAATTTAGTTGTAGGTTTTGATTATCATTACATTTTTATATTACATTTAGTTCACAATATTTCAAATGAGCAAAGAAGAAAATGCTTTTTTTTTCTATTTGCAGAAACAAGTAAAAAATAAACAGTTATAGAAAATCAGAAAATTTTGTTATTGGTCCTTAAGAAAACTAAAACAATTTAGTATTGATTTAGAGATAAAACTTTCCAACTAACTATTTATATCATAAATTAGTTTTACTTCATCCTCTTAAATAGTTTCAAAATTTTTTTTCTAGTTGAACATGGCCTTTTACTTGGATAGTGAACTATACAATTGGAGAAAAAACTAATACACAATTTCACATTTTGAAAAAATGAAGATTTTAAATGCATTGTACAATCCATTTACTATCTACATTTAGGGAAGATTTCCGTATGATCTGAGACAGAATGATCACTGAATTTTGGTGACTTCGAGGTCTCGCTAGCTCGCAAGAAAATTTATCCAATCCCCGAATTAAATCTTGCACATCCCAGAAAATATTTATAACACTAGTGACATTTTTATAACAATTTATGCAAAATGAAACCAGATAATTTCGTAATGGCGCAGCATTTATGAGTAGTTAGCAATAAAAAAACACAATAGAAGAATAAATTCATAAAAATATTAAACATAATGATTATTCATCGAGAATGATATTCTCAAACTCACTTCAGTGTCAATCACCAAAAAGTACAACAGAAAAGATAATCCTTAACACTGCGCCATATGAAAGATCCAACTTTTTTCCATAATTTTTATTTGTACAGAAAGAATATAGATCCATCTATGAGCTAAATTATTTCTTTTTAAAGGATAACAATACCAAGAAAATTTGAAAATAATCTGTTTTGGGCCTTAGTTTCGGATTGGATAGAAAGTGCGACGAGTTCTCTTCTACAAGCTTGTAGCTTTGTCTTACTATGCAGCTGCCTTGAGCTTACATATAAAGATAAAAACCTTCAATAATTTACAGACGGCGCTGCGAAATTATGAACCAACTATGACTGCCAATTATGACTGCCAACTAAAGGGGCCGTGATGGCACAGGGAATAGAGCTTTCGCCTTGCAATTAGGGAACAAGAATTCAAATCCCAACGATGACTTGTCGATACGCATTCCGTACCCGGCTTCCACTGACCACAGTGCTGGCATGAAATATACTCAGTGGTAGATGAATCATGGGTTAGAGTCCCCTTGCTGTTAGGCTAACCGAGGAAGGTTTTCGTGGTTTTTCACTCCTTGTAATGCAAATGCCAGTTCCAGTTAGTTTCATCAAAAAAAGTTTCCCTGATACTTGATCCAGGAGTTCCCTTGTCTTCTGGGTTGGATTAAAAATCACAAGGCTACGGAGGTGAACACTAGTTGTCGCAAGCTCAAGAATTAAACCGACGGTTATAAAATAAAATTACAACTGTAGAAAAATGTACAAAGAAAACAATGGAATAAAAAAATTTAGTATTTATTATTAGATAGAGAATTATTAACTCTTATATTTGAAACAGACAAAAAATTACCATCTGAATATTTCTGCAGGCCACGGGAATGCATCAAAAATTGAGCGTGATGAAAAGTCCATTTTCTTCGTTAAACTTGAAGTGAAATTTTTTTTCGAAATTTATATCGTTTGAAAGTTATATCGTTTGAAAGTTATTGCAATTTTAATTGTTTTTAAGGCAAATTTTTTAAAAAATCTTTTTGCTTTTTTTAAAAAAAAGAGTATTTATTTATTGCTGTAGAAAATTTATCGCTCTGGCGATCTTCCTTTATTGCTCGCATCTGATATAAAACGTAACAAAAAATAAAAAAATAAATATAATAAAAAGACAAGAAAGTGAAAGAAAAGATTTTACCAGATATGAATCTTAATATTAGCATCGAGATTTTTAAAAATATAAAAGATAAAAACTGTTTGCTACTTGATCTGCTATACGATATAAGGCTATCGTATTGTTATATGTTTATAACATGTAAAATTACATCATTTATTACTTCTTATTGTGTTGCACTTTCAGTATTTCAAAATTTTTCTTTTAGTGCAGTTTATTACTTTTCAAATACATGTATCCTTTCAATTCGTTATGATTAATATATTAACAAAATGTGTTTAAATAAAGTTATAATAATTAGATATTTTATAAACAAAATAAAGCTTTTAATCGATTTTTAACGGAAAAAAATTATGAATGTGAAGCAACCACGGTAGGTAAGTGGAGCGAACAGGGAGTGAAACCTTACATTTTTATAAAACATGTATTAACAAAAGTTTCTTTGCTTAATAATTATACAAAGTTAACAAATATGTATCTGTTTTCTGAGAAAAATATCGACATTTTAGAGAGAAATAATGATTTAAGTTTGGTAATCATGGGGAGTTGGTGAGCCCAGTGAACAGGGGACGAAACTCCTTGCTCCTAGAGTTTTAAATAATTGAAACTATAAAGTATCGACAGTTTAGTTTGCGCCATTGCCTAATGCGAAAACCTATGCGATTCAAGTTTTCTTTCTGAACTGAGATAATTAAAATTTTTGAACCGTTAAAACCGCTAAAACCATTCAAATTTCAGGATTATACTATAGACGACTCTATAATTTTAAAACAGACACACAGTTAAATTTCTCATTTTATGGCTGGGAATAATGATAATATGGTAATTTGTACTACATGTTGCCACTTTTGATTACATACTCATAATACCAAAATAAAAACTTAAAAAAATTCATTTACATCTCACCTCCAATGACGACTTTTCTTCTCTTCTGTCCAATGTCGGTAGATTTTATTTGAATTTCATCATTTTCATCTCTTTTCAAAACAATCATATCTGGTTCTTCTGAACCTGATACGACAGACTAAAATACCGTTACACAAAAAATATCATTAAAACAAATACATTTGCAACAACTTTAAAAATATGAAATCAGATGAATATCTATAGAGCAACAAAAAGATGATGAAGTAAAAGTTTTTAAATTCTAACTCTTGCACTTTGGTAGAATTGGATATATTTATACCGATTCTAAAAGCGTAATGGTCACCTTTAATAACACCTGAAGAGAGTTTACACATTAGTTGACGTATATTAATATTCAATCGGGAAATGAACATAAACGCAATCAAAATGTAAGTAACCACTACTGAGAGAGGTGAGACGGGTTAATAAAAAATTCGATTTGCTCCGATTTGATTGCCTGTTTCGATTAATTACTTTTTAACTCATTTTTTAATTTCTCCTGCCACGAAATAGGTCTTAATTGGTTTGTGATTCATTATTAGATTTTGACAGTGGCGTTTGTTTTTTCCACGCTTAAATATCAATTTGTAATTTCAAATGTGTATAGTTTCATTCATTTTTTTTAAAAATATGGATTTAAAAATATCATATATCAAGGATGGTGATTGCAGAGCACCCTTTATGCATTGATATAAATAGGCCATAATGGGCATTAAATTCTTAAAAAAAGAAATAAAGAAGTCCCCTGGGCTAGGTACTTCGAACCTAAATTTAATACTGGGATTGATTATGTGTTTATCTTATATTAGTGCTAAAACCACCATAATCACCATGAATAAACTCATAATAAAAGGAGTGAAATAAAGTTTGGTTGAGAGATAGAGAAACTAATGTGGTACAGCTTAATCGGACTGTAGAAAAATATTGAAGCATTAAAATTGTTTTTTAATTAATTGCGTTTTAATTGGTTAAAACATTTTGGAACTATCAGTTGGCAATAAGAAAACATCTATGTTAAATATTTTGTGATCTTGGCATCTTTTTTTGTGAGTAATATTTGAAAAACACATTTCTAAAATAAAATTACCTCTCCAAGTCCATAGTTTGCAGTCACTGACATCAAAGTTGGATTACCATTTAAAGGATCACAAGTAAATAACACACCAGCAACTTCACAAGGTATCATTTCTTGGATAACTACTGCCATGGGTGAATTATAGCACTGTCCATAACGCCTGCATCAAGAAAGAATGGACTGAATATCACACTTGAGCAAAATGTAACCGCATGCCTACCAACTTTTACTTTTTACAAAAAAGTTTTTCTCTAGTTTTAGGGAAATTCTATCCAAGCCTTTCAATTAATTACAAGTTTTCAATTTCTTATCAAGATTAGGATACAATCATATTTACCCGTATTAGTTGGCAGGCTTAAGTGAGTAATAATCTTTATTGGCAGTTGTGCTAAATTACGTTTGTACCAAGATATAAGTTTCATATTTAATCCATGTTTTTTTCCCTTTCTTTTTCTTCTTAGATAAATAGAAATATTAAAAATGTTTACCATGTATTTAGTTCTACCTACCATATTCCGCCTTCTCTGCCAATGAACCGCAAAGTGGCGAATTCACGCAAACGGACGATTATGTGGAACTCAGAAGTTGTCAATTTGTTTGGGCGGACCAAGTGATCATGACAGGAAAATTTTTAACCTTCTTATTTGCACTTAAAATACTAATACCGAGGATTTCAAACAATGGTGTAGAAGGCAGCGTGAATAAGCATGGATGCGGGGAGTGTTGATTAGGTGAAAATTGAGATTTTATTCTAAAGTGTTATAATATTTTGTAGGAAACTAAATCAATCATAACTTTGCACATGCACTAAAATTTCTTACCAAATTTCGTAACTTATCGTTGATGGAGTCTTGTAATACATTAAATCCAAATGAATTGCGAGTACCTAGGCATTTCCTATTGGTCGTACGTTTTCGTTTCGTTGCATAATTTCCAAAAAAAAAAGTTAAGTGCCATTTTGAGTTTTTTTCATTTGATTGTCTTATTGGTACAACATGCAGGCTGATAAGCCTTATTTCAAGTAGAAGGACAGGTAGCACGATATAGATGATAGTACAAAGATACGTCCAGCGTAACAGAGGGATTCAAACCTGCTACCTCAACGCTATACTGCTTTGCCAGGGGGCCCCTTTTCTTTTGAGGGAGTAGACGATTGTTCGGCGATATTTGATTGGAAGACTCCAAAACAGCTTGAAAGACGAGTTCATATGGAAGTGGCTCTCATGGTACTCGACTATATGCCGAGCCATGTCTCTTTGCGACATGTCAGGTTCAATGAATCAGTGAGAGACCATCAAGGCTGGTACTGAGTAACCAGTAAAACAGTCTAGAATTAAAGTGAAAACAAAAATATGTCTGTCCTGTTAGCCATTTATAACCGCTTTTTTTCCCATTTTAATTCTGCACGAATGCATTTATGACTTCCCAAAGTGGTTAAGGACTATTCATTTTTTATTTGACTGATATGACACTGAGTTCATACTTTTTATACTGTTAAAAATTCTTTCTATTTTGTTTTTTAAATAAAACTTTAATCAAACAAATTAAAATTTTTTTATTAAATTTGTTTTTATTTTTTAAAATTATTTATTTAAAAAAAAACGTGTTTTCTTACCTTTTATATTCAGTGGCAACAAAACTGAACTGTGATGCCCAACATTTTTTTACAGCGAGCAGAATCTAGAAAATGGAATTAGTATTTACGAATGAACTACTAAAGGATTCGAGTACATTTTTTTCAAAAATATAAAAGCTGGATACTCTATTTCCCTTTTTTAAATTTATTTCGGTTTCAGGACAACTATATTTCCTAGTCCTAGTATGAAAATGAATCTTGGAACTTGGGGCAGAGCAGCGGTCTTTATCCCATCCATCTTTACGTAATTTAATCGCTGAATTGAAAATATCGAAGCTAGCAGTCGGTGGGGTTGCTAAGGACAGCTATATTTAAATTATTAAATATATATATGTAGTGCTCCTTCTCTATTTTTTCTCGTAACTCTTGAGCCGTGGCTTTTCATTAATCATTATTTTGTGATTTCCAATTTTCGCAGTCATATTTTAATTATTTTTAATATCCTTTTCTATAAGGATGACAACATAATGAATTTTCTATGCTTTTATTGAGATCAAGAATAAGGAATCTATTTACAATTTATATACAATTGGAGCACCGCTCCGAGACACATCTTTATCCCTCCATTTCCAAAATTTAAGTGTGCACTTTTTTAACGTAACACATGTTCATGTCATGTGATCTATATAATCCATCCAGACCTCTTTTGTTTATATCTTCTTTGTTAGAAGCGGCACGCCGTAATATCTGAAGACCAGATGGAGATGAATTAATATCTCAACATAGTCTTGATTTAAATGGGAATTCGGTTTCTTTAAGGCATTTTATTGCGCGGGTGGATTCATTTTACAAATAAAGATTTCATCGCTATTCAACGGAGCTTACTATATACGCGAAGGGCTAAGTTAAGTACGTGAAAGAGAAATTTAATGTTCTCAGAAACCAGATAAGCTTATTCGCAGATAGATATAATTCTTTTTGAGTTTAGTCTCAAAAGATCCTTTTAATTTTATTAAGGTAGTATTTTAGATATTACATATATTATTAAATATATATTACAATAATTAAGTATTCTTTGAAAGAAAAGTGGTAGTCAAATTATAAATTATCAACTTAGGTTGTGGACTTATTTCCTACCAATACAATGGGAATAAGCTGTCCTGCCAAAGTTTAATTTCCTCCTGGAAGAACCTCCACAAATGGTAGTGAAAGACTAATTTAAATACAATAGATATAAATATAAATAATTATAGATAAAAATAAATTTTCACAATTGCTATGACTTGACTTGGTGAATAAGAAGATCTTTGCTCTACGCTTTTATCCTCTGTGCTGTAAGGACGAGTTCGGTTGAAGGTGGTGAGTTGAGTTGTTGATGATGATGGAAGAGTGAAAGTACATGATGTTCATGAAGAAACTTAAACTAATTCAATGCAGAATTTGCAGTTTTCCGGGAAATCCAAGTACAGAATTTTGCAGTTCCAATATGCTCTCGGAGAGTTTAAATTGATGATAATGAATAAGTGAAGATACAAAATGATCGTGAAGAACTAATTCGTTCCGAGAACTCAAAATCAAATTTTGGTTCCAACACTTTTGAAGAGACAGGAAAACTATTAGAAAAAAAAATACTTTTTTCCCCAGGCGATCAGAGAGGCTAACACAAATGAAATGAAAGTTCTGTTATCTTTGCATATATAGCATTTAATTGGATTGGTTACTTCGGAGATGCGAGATTAAAATATGCTATGACTCGCTATAACTTGCTTTTATATATAAGATGAATTAATTTGCATTTAATGGTAGACAAAATTATACAAAATTAAATATACACTACATGAATACAAGAATTAAAAAGATATTTATAAGATGCATTACCACTTTAATTATAAAAAAAATTCAAAATAAAAAGTAATATTTTTAAAACCACGTTTTAGTAGTGGAGAATAATAATTAAGAAAAAAATTGAAAAACGAAAAACGTGGGGCTCATGAAATACATAACAGTAATGTTATATTAGTGTGTGTATGTGTGCTCTTGAGAATATGTGTATGTATATCAGTAATTGTAATTGTATCTGAATGTGGATCTGGAATATGCTTTTGTATATGCATATGTATGTGGATGTATATGTGGCTGTGCATGTGTATGAGTAAGAAAATGTGTATATGTATGTGTATATGTACTGTTATGTATTTCATGCGCCCCACGTTTTTCGTTTTTCAATTTTTTTCTTAATTATTATTCTCCACTACTAAAACGTGGTTTTTAAAAATATTACTTTTTATTTTGAATTTTTTTATTTTAAACTATGATTTTTTTAATTTTTAATTTTTATTTTATATTTTTAAAAAATTATTATTTTTTAATTATTATTCTTCACTACAAAAAACGTGGTTTTTAAAAATATATATTTTTATTTAGATTATTTTTCTTAGTCAAGAGTAGTCAAGACTACTACAAGACCACTACTAAAGTAATAGAACTTTTATTTTAAATTAGGGATACAAAAATCTTTATAGAAAAACAATACCTTTACGACTTTCATTAGTTTTATGCTGATGACAACCAAAACAATCTGGAAATGAATGAGGAAAAACTGGATCCTACCACGTGATTTTTCAGCCAATAAAAATACTCCGACAACAAAAATCTTTTCACCTGACACGTAATAATTTGAAATAATGGAATCGACAACAAAAGACAATCTCGAAAATAATTTTTTTTTTAAATTTTAATTTTATTTTACTTTGCATGTCTTTTTTCTCTTCATTTTCATGCATTGTCATCCAATTCTGAACTGTGTGCTAAATTTGAAGTTTGTAGTTAGTCGGGAAGTTAGTTTAAAATCGATTACAAAATTCCACCCGGACAGACATACACGAAGGCAAGTTTATATAAACGTGGTAATAAAATGAAATACTACGGACAATCCATAGCTTATAGCTGCTATGAATAAGGATTATGTTAAGCAGGCTAATTTCATCGTGAAAGATCACCAATTTAATCGTATATAGTTGATTATCATGAATTTATCGGGTCGTTCGGAAAGTTCGTGCCTATTTTCGATAGGTGGAACTTACAAAGGTTTGCCAAAGATATTCGGGTGGTAGTAAAATTTATACGATAAAATATGTTTTTTGTTTTAGGAAATGGATCATTAAATTTTCCTAATCACAAAGGCTTAGAAACTTATTGCTTGGATAGAAGTCTGATATCTGCTAGATGAGTATTACCTAAATTGAGGAGGTTGCGAAATTATGATCAAACCGAATCTCTGAAATAACGATTGGCAATAATTTATTAAACATTTTTTAAAAACAATTTTGACCTTAATCACAGTATAATTACAATATTTGTTTATCTCTTTGTAATAAGTAAAAAAATCCATGAAATCTGTTACAATTTTTATTTTAAATAAAAAATTAACTCTTAACACCCGCAATTAACAGTGTCCAAAAAAACGTAAGCCTTAGCATCGTTTCAAATGTTTTATTTAACTAGGAGGAAAAAAAACTTTCCTTTTTATTTATGATGTATTTTCGATTAATTTGATTGAAATATCTATTTAAAAAATTTTAGTAAAATCTGTAGTACATAAAAATTGATAGTATTTTTAAAAGAAACATACCTCATCAATTCCTGATATTCCTAAAAATGTTTCCATTTGTCCGGCAGCAGACATTTGCTCAGTATCCTCACCTACAAAAATATATAATAATAACATTAACAGCAACAACAACAATAATAATAACAACAATAATTTTCATTATTTGAAATAATTAAAAAAAGCTAGACACATTTATATATTATCTAAGATTTTGGAGAAAAACGATGCAAAGTTTGTATTTTGAAGTATCTAAACGATGTATCTCGAAATTACTCTTTTAACGCTTATTACAATGGTTAAAAAATATGAATGTAACCACTTGAAAATTATAAGACAGATCTCAGTATACACACACTTATAATTATTTCACTTGGAAATTATAAGATATTACTCTATAATCACCATTTGAAAAATTATATGACATAGTTCTGTATTCATACTGTTAACCTTACTTCACTTGAAAATTGTTCTAGTAAGTACAATTTTCGAATTATAACCGGTGAGACATAGAATGCTTTAATATCATTAAAAGGACGGACATGCATTTAAAGACGTATCATATGATTGAGTGCTATAAAGATATTATATTTAAAACATAAACGATCAGCGCTTGATGTTTGCTTACAAAATGAATTCTTGTGTAAACTTATCACTATAAAAATTATAATTAAGATATTACTTTGCATTCACCACCTGAAAATTATAAGACATAACTCTGAATTCACACACTCACTTTTATTGAAAGGGCCGGGATAGCCTGATCGGCAGGGCATTGGGCCCATGCCCGAGAGTTCGTGGGTTCGAACCCCGCCGGCCGAAGACTACCCGTGTAGTAAAATGGTGACTGATGCATGTTAAATCTGTCGAGTTGCAAAGTCCTCCATGTTCCCATAACAAATCAACACCTCTGGGGTTATTGAATTGGAGATTGATCGTTTTCTGATATAGGTCAAAATTACGATCTGTGGATGAATGCATGGATGTATGAATGGGTCCGCCCTATAAACGGGCGTCACGTAATGGGTGTGGCAGAAGTCGAATTCTTGGCCATAGATGGCTCCACTGGAAAACAAGAACAATCGCACCCCTCTGCCTTAACAGGCATACGAAAGCAAGCAAGCAAGCACTCTTATTGAACTTGAAAATTGCAAAACATGCTTAATAATTCTCATTTACGGAGCCGTTGAGGCTTAGGGGATAGAGTACTCGTCCCCTTTGAGGTGAACCGGGTTCAAATCCAAGCACTGTCTGGTTGATTCGAATTCCGAACCCGTCTCTCACTGACGACAATTCCGTCTCCCACAGTGCTGACTTAAAATATTCTTAGTGGTAGACGGATCATGAGAGAGAGTCCTCTTGTCACCAGGCTAACTGTGGGAGGCTTTCGTGGGGTTTTTCCCCATGTAACGCAAATGTGGGTCAGTTCCATCAAAACGTCCTCCACGAAGGAAAATTTATCCCAATGATTGATACCGGAGTGCTCTTGTCTTCTGGATTGGGTTCAAAATTGCGATGCTTAGAAGTTGAACATCAGTAGTCTTAAATACAAAATTGGGTCGACTGTTCAAGGATGGTTATAAAAATAAAATAAATACTCATTTACGAATGAGAAATAAAATTTCGATTACCTGTTGCTGAGGACCGGATAGCAAACTTTTGAGAATGAAGTTTTTCTTTAAAATGGTTCTTAAGCTCTTCTTCAATGACGCAATGAAGCAAAATTGGAAAGTTGTTGTTGATAACCAGCGTTTGGACCCTGCAAATGATTATACATAAAGATGGAAGTACTTTGTAAAGATAATTTAACTGTAAAGTAATATTAACTTGAATTACCTCTTACACGCTTCCATTACTTCTTCAGGTTTGCTATTTTTTCTAAAAATAAATAAATAAATAAAATAAAAAAAATTTAATATTTAGGGCTAATATATTTATTATATTCGATAATTATGTAATTTTCGTCCCCACTTTTTAAAATTTGTAAGAATCCTGACTACCCCATACCTGCCAACTTTTAATCCTTTCCATTATAATTTTTCCCAGTGGTATAAAAATGGAATTAAAACTTCAATTTTAGGCAAACAAATACGTTGTATTTGAGAAAACTTAAGTTGAGAACCATGATAGTAACGCTTATTAATATATGTGCTTAATTTTTGTAAGAATAGTGGTGATCAAAATCATTTAAAAATTAAATTTATAAAAGAAAAATAGTATATATTTACTACCACTTTAAATATGAAAATAAAATCTTCCGGAAAATCCGGAAGAGTTGGCAGGTATGATACCCTGAAGCTATTATCCCTTCACTGCGTAAGTGATGCAATAATGTCCTTTGAATAAAATACAACGGTACTGAAACGTACAGAGTGCAAATATTTTATGGACAATATTACAAAAGCATTGTACATAATATATGATAATATTCACATTGAATAATAATAATTGTTTAATAACCAGCAAAGTTTACAAGCAAATTAATCTTTGTTTAGGTGTTAAATATTATACCTGACAAAATTCACATAGAATAGGAAGTTGAACCATCAACAAATTATATTGGCAACTTAAACCATTGACTGAGTTTTGTAATATATTTATTCAAATGTACCATAACAGCATTTGATTAGAAAAGATTTGATTTGAATAACATTTGATTTGAATACTATTCATATACAGGCAAGGCGTTTTCCATTAAGATAAAGCGTTGAATACATTTGTGTCAACTTTTGTTTTGAAACATTTAATTTCTTGATATCTCGAGAGCTTTCTAAACGAATTTAAAATTTTTTGCGCACAAGTAAAAAATTTATTTATCCAAAGTAAATTCCATGCAAAATATAACTTTTAATAAATATTTATTTTTTATTATTTTATTTAAAAATGGACGAAAAAATTTTGAATTCTCAGAAACACAATTTTTTACATTGTTTTAAATAATAGAATTTTTACATGGTTAAACACAAAATTTAAGCGAAAGTGGTCAAATAGTGTCTAAGAAATCAAATTTCAATTATCTGGAACTTTGTTACCGATATCGCTCTAATTTTGTATTTCATCATTTAAAATTGCAATCTTTAAAAGGATGTAAAAATTGTATATACATTACAATTCAAAAATTTTTCGACTTTGATTAAATACAGTAATGAAAAATAATAAATATTAAATAAAAATTACATTTTGCATAGAATTATTTTTGCCGAAACAAATGATATAATTAAATGTAAAAAATTTTCAATTTGCTTAACAAGTTTTCAAGACATGATGAATTATGCAAAAAATAAAATTAACATTAAGGTGTCTAAACTTTGAACCGCTCTCTTGACTAAACTATAACGACCATATTTCCCAGATTGCGGCTACAATACATAATTTGAGGATCAGAAATTAGAAAAAAATTTATGTTTATTTAAAAAAAAACATTCTTGTGTCTGATTTAGTAACTAAAGATATTGTCTGCACTAATTAATTTGCATAGTTGAGATCACCCCCTCAAACCATTAAGATTGAGTCATAGAACATGAAGATTTGATCATTAGACCAAAAGTTAATTCTGGTTCGTTTTTTACTTTGAGCACTGTGTATACCTTTTCGTCCGGACGAGGAATTTTGCCAAGGATTCGAAAAATATATCCTAAGGACTTTCATTACCGAAAACTCACAATAGGTTTCTCTCCATATACCTCCATATACTCCGATACACTCTCGATTATCCGTGAGCGGTTTATCCGGTTTGTGGATTATCCGTGCTCATTCCAGAGTCACAAAAAATATAAAGAGAAACATTTTCAAAATTAAAAAACTTTTGATTCATGAGGTTATGACACTACAAAATTTCTAGAAGCAATATTCGTTATTGGATTACAGTGTATGGAATATCAGCAGCATGGTCAAGGGTAAAATCGTCTATGTTATCACGATCTTGGAGAGAGATCATACCGCTTGATGAACAATCTTCTTCAGATGTTCAAGAAAAATAGGATAACAGTATTTTCGAACAAGCAAAAAGAATCTAAGGTTTCGAAATTCTTGATGAAGGAAATTTAGAAGATTGGTTTCCAGTGTTTGACAGATGAAGGCATCGTTGTGTTGTTAAATCAAATAGTGATGATGGTAACTGATGCAGAAGATGTAGTAAATGAGGGAAATACAATTTCTCATACTGCTGCTCTGTGGAAACTTTATTAGATTATATGGGAGGATTTGATTACGGTGACATTACTGCGGTTCGTAAAATATGTGGTAAAAGGCGAAGACGCATTACACCTTTTTTTAAAAGGAAAATTCCTAGTCTGATGTTTTACAGCGTGCAAATGTGAGTAATTTTTATATTTTTTTGTACTGATATTGATTTTTTCTGTAATAAAAGGAGTTTTCGGATTATCCGTGTTTCACGATTGTCCGTTCGACCTGTCCCGGTGATTATCCCGGATAATCGGGAGTGCACCGTAATTCAGAGTGAAAAATGTTCTTTTTGTAAGTATAGGTTTTTTGTTTCTACTTAGAGTATTATATAGGTTAAAAAAAAAACAAGAGAATAACTTACTTATATGAGATTTGTTCAAGTATCCGTATTTCGTTCAATATGGGTTTAGTCACAAAACTGGAATACGCTGCTGTTGTTACAACAACACCATCGGGTACGGTGAACTAAAAATAACATTGATCAAAATATGAACATAATATGAATAAAAAATTTTTTTTCATCCAATCCATCATCAGTTTTAAGAGGTCATGAAATAAAAAGAGTACCCGATTTTAAAATTTATTATTTAAGACATTTCGTGACCGTAAATCCTAATAACTCCAGTCAGTCTTGAGGTAGGTTTATGTTCATTCCTTCGGACTACTAGAGTGAGCAGTAAGAAGACCTTCGCTCTTTAAGGAGGTTGTTGTTCATTTACGTTGCACTAGAGCTGCACAATGGGTTATTGGCGACGGTCTAGGAAACATCCCTGAGGATGATCCGAAGACATGCCATAGCAATTTTGATCTTCTGCGGAAGGTTCCCTATTTTGGTAGCCCGACAACCTGCTCACGAAGTCGAGCACTTTACGGTAGAACAGTTTAGCGAGTATATCTCACACCCTCGGTCCCTAAGCAGGCTTATCAAAGTGGTCACCCACCCGCTTACTGGCTGCAGCCAGTAATGTGTGACTTCGGTGTTCTATTGGGAACCGTGTCTTTAAGATCAGCCAAATGCGGAACGCAGTCTGTCTTGAAGTTTAAGTACATAACATAGAATATTTTAGTATTCTCTTCTACATAAACTTTAGAGAGAGACCAAAAATGAATAATGAAAAACCAATCATAATTAATGAAAAAATTAAAACCCTTTCGACAGTGCTTAACCTCTCCGGTGTAGTGTAGCGGAGATGCCAACTGCTCTATATTCGATAAGATGCCGGCCAGGTGGCCGAGCGGTCAGCGTGCCTGACTGTGAAGCCAATGGTTGCGGGTTCGAATCCCGCTCAGGGCATGGATGTTTCTCTCTGTGTGTGTTCTTTATTATATGATGTGTGAATGTGGCCCACCCTATAAACGGGTCTGTGGCGTGGGTAATGTTGCTCGCTTCCGTGACTTAGGTTCACAGGTGCCCACTGGGTAACGTTAAATGAGTAACACCTCCGGCATCTTCCTAGGCGAGGAACGAAAGTTCAGTGCCTGCCGTTAAAAAAAAAATATTTGATAAAATATTTTTAATAAAAGGTAGAGCTTTATGAACTAAACTTTGTAAATTCTCTGTTAATATTGCCAACATTTTACAAGGGTCAACACGGCCTGCCTGTAACAACAGGGTTGTCAACTGCTCCGCTTTCTGCAAAAATTTTAATAAATTGGAACCGAATTATATAGTAAAACTTGTTAAATAAGAATTATTTCGCCTACACTTTAAAAGTGTCACCTCGAGATAACTGCCATAAAGTTGGATTTCATATGATACTTTGAATTTTTGATAAGTACTGAGGGAAAATTAAATGAAAAATACTAAACTAAAAATTACTTAAAATTCGTTATCTCTAGAAAATAATTTTTTTCCAAAGCGGAGCAAGTTGGCAGCTCTGTAGCAAAGTGACGTAAGAAAATAAGCACGAGTTTTGGAATTATTTAGAAGTAATGGTGAGTAAAAACACTCGAGTATAACTCGAACTGAGACAACTGAGTATAACTCGAATTTACTAAACCAAGAAACATATATTAAAAGACTATCACTCGAAAATATTAATCCGCCGCCCGGAGTAAATTGGCATCTTTAATTGTAGCCAGTCTGACAACACTAATTCAACAAATGTTACAAATCACTAGAAATGTAAAACTAATTGCTTTTAAACATTCAGGATCCACTATTCTTTGAACAGCAAAGAGCTAAGTATGTTGCTTCACTTAAAATGTACTGTCTAAAACTAAAATTACGTGTTTTTAATTGTATTACCCCTCCAGAGTTAGAATAAGCTGAATAGTTGCAGACCAATTGGATGAAACTAACCCGCATTTGCGTTTTACGGAAAAGAAAACCGCGAAAACCTCCCACGGTTAGCTGGACGGCAATGGGACTAACCCATGATCCGTCCACCACTGAGGATATTTTAGGTCATCACTGCGGTCAGTGCGAGCAGGATGTGCGATTCATATCTACCAGATATCGTTGAGATTCGAACCCAGGTCACTAAGGTGAGCACTCTATCCCCTGGCTCGTACATTGTAATTGAGCAATATTTACTATAAATACAGTGTAGTTGCTACTTTTGTTATTAACGAAATGAAAATTATCATTTTGTATTAAATTAATCATGCTCTGCTATTTTGTATATCACTTTTCATTTCTAACTCGTTCTGTTGTTTCAGATAGGTACGCTATTTTAGTAGTTTCATATCTACGACAGCAGTTAGCGCTTTTATCTTTTAGTGCATAGCCGCTTTACACTATCAAGACACCATTTTTATAAATCTAGCTGAAACTGTTCGAAAGTTGAAAATATAAATATAGTATTCAGTAGGCACACTGTATTACGGAAGATAAAATTAAAATTTTTTATCAAACTGTTAAGAATAATGTGAGGCCAATCACCACAAAGAAAGAATTAAAATAAACAAAAAAGTTTATTTTTTGGATGCAAACCGAAAAAAAACAACTAAGGTTGTGATGGTATTTAAAAATAGACATAAATAATACACTTTGGAGCTGCGCATTAAATATAGTTTATAGGCAAACAGCTATACGCAGAAGGTAAAAAGCGGAAAAAATATTATATTTTGTAAAAAATTAGAAAATGGTCTCATAATGGCGAGAAGCATGTAAAAGCCACCATTTTGTTAACTTTTTTTTCTTTTTACCTTACTAGATTGTTTTTACGGAGGTCGTTCGAATGCGCTAATATTGGCCACATTTCAACAGTGTGTTGCATTAGAATTACTTAGTCCAATAGAACTTTTCAGGAAACCTTTTAACCTCTAACTAATATATTAGGTTTATCTTACCTCCATCTTTGATATAGTTAACTTCGAAAATAATTCGTCAGGTTTTGATAAAGATTTCATTTTTTGTTCTCTCCCTTACATATTAGTATTTTTTATTTTAATACTATTTTTATACCATAAAACTCATCACCTCCGATACTATGTTTTCATTTCAGAAAAGGATTTCAAAAATGTAGATTAAGGGCGGTGATTAATAACCTTAATATGTAATAAAATTGATTTCTTCTTACACTTCCAAAATTTTCACTCAAATAAGTGAGTTTCCCCAACGATGAACCTTTACCACCCGTCACCTCAGGTAGCTGGCAAATATCTTCTTTAAATGACACTACATTCGGAATTTCTGAAATGAAATTTAAGCAATTTCAGCGTACATTTCAATCAAAGAAATTAAGATGTATTGTAAAATAAAATAACCATATTCTTTATATGGTATGAAAAATAATAAGCAAATGATTTAAACATATCATGTTAGTTCAGAGTTTGTGCGGTCAGTGCTCCTCCAGCACCTCCTAAAAGAGGAAAGGCATTCGCATGAAATCTGATCTTTTAGTTGATATTTTCTCGTTGTGACAAACCTTATTATTTAGCCCCACTGCGCAGTTTATGTTTGTTCCTTCAGACTACTAGAATGAGTAATAAGGAAACCTTCGCTCTTAAGTAGGGATTGTCAAGATCGCATAGCTTCATCCTGGCTATCTTTACTTGTGAATACCTATGTTGAAACTGTTAATTATATCTTGAGTGTCGCACATATTTTTCTCCTTTCGAAAACAAGCTAGAATTTAAATTAATTTGTTATAAGTGCTTTTTCCTTTGCCGTCTACTGGCAGAATGATTTAGAATAGTGGTAACAAACTTGAAGGTAAGATAGATCAAGATTTGCGAAGCAACCCATAAACTTATATGTCCTCGCACATCGCTAGAGGCACCTTCTCGTTACATATTGGCTATTCATGCGCATTTGTAACATTTGATTGAATTAACTAAATCATCTTACTATCGTCTAATTTCATGTTTTCTGGGATTCATTGTTGAAAATTGTATTTAAATAGACTCAGGAAGAGCAATTTCATCGCAGTTTAAAGATTTAAATTAAAATAGCGAAAGGTAAGATAATTTAGATTTATTAAAAATAGTGTTTGAAATGAGCGATAACAGCCAGTTCAGAATGGGGAGGGACCTCCTGTGTTCTTGCAGTTATGGGTTGCTTTTCAAATCTCAACCCTTATAATTCCCTCACTCCAAGTTTGTAATAGTTGTCCTGAATCTTCCCGAAGGAAAAAGGAAAGATATTACCTCTTGGGACTTGAATTTTCTTCGCATTATAACAACTACATTCTATTTTCTTTGAAGGTGATCTGGAAAAAAAAATTAATAAAATTTAATTATTCATAATTCAGTATGAGCAAAATAACTTTGTTTAGTTTTAGAGTTTTATTGAATCCCTTAGTAGGGCTTGGTGAGGTAATATGTGATGTGTTCGATTTTCATATGTAGAGTGCGCAAAAAAATAAATAAAAAAATAATGGATTAGCCTGAATAACTTTTGACCTAATGATCCGATCTTTACGCTTATAATTAAACTTAATGGTTCTGGGAATAGACCTCAAATATGCAAATTAATTAGAGCTGACTATATTTGAAGTTGCGAAATCAGGCACAAAAATGTACCTTTTCCTTTACGTACTTTTTTCTTTGCCTTTTTCTTTACGGATTCTGATTTCTGGCCCCCTTAATATAGGGGATAGCTGCAATTTGGAAAATATGGCAGTAATAGTTGGTCCAAAAAAAAAACAACGGTCCACAGTTTTGACCCCTTAATGTTAATTTTTCTTTTTGCATATTGCCTTTGACACAGAATTTTTATGAAACATATTTTTCTTGCTTTTTTTCATTACTTTGTATTAACTTAGGTCAAAATAAATGAAAAGTAATACATCTAATAATTTCGGTTATGAAATACAGTAGAAAACACCGGTGTTTTCTCCTATGTTAAAATTCCAAACATGACTCACTTCCAAACATTAATTTCCCAAATTTGAAACTGTTTAGATCTAAAAGAAACAACTATTCATAATTGAAATGTCTTTAATTTACTATATAAACTATTAATACATTTTTGAATATGAATGAAAAAAATTAAACGATTTTTTTTAAATTTTATATATGGTTGACCTTGTAAAGCTAAGCGCAGATGGATCTAGGGGTTAAAATTTTTCGTAAGACTTCCGAGTTACTCCCCTCGACTGATTTTTGCGCCTAATATTGAAAAACCGCACCATCAAATATTACTATACTTGCAGTGTTTTCAATACGACACGTGTTTTCAATCTAACTTTCAACGAAACAAGTAACAAATGAATTCGTAAGACTCCGCAAGCTTGCTATGATGCTACCCAAAAAATAACTAACGCTGCTATTTTACACAAATATAGCCAAATAAGGGATATTACTCAAAACATGGCTAACCTTACACTTTGTTTATGCTGTGATATTAATTTTGTGAAATTTTTTTTAGGCTCACGACCTGTCAGAATTTATAAATTACAGAAAATTTTTATGAATGGTAAAATTACGTCTAAATTAAAATACAAATTACAATAATAAAACTTTCTAGAGTATTAAGCCTGCAAACACATTGCATCGTAAGCATAACACAGGCGGAGGGATACACCGGAAGTTTTCTAAATTTTTTCCGGTTTTAGGAATTTTGTTATTATTGTTTACATTCAATTAACCATCTATATTTAAGTAGAAATATAATCCCGATAATCTAACAGCTTTTTTTTTTCTTGGTAACTATTAGACCAGTGACACCCAATTTTTCCGGCTATGGAACCCTAAATAATCAACCCACTTTCGACGGAATCCCTCTTTTATAAATAAAGTTTATTAAGATAATTGTAAAAGTTATAGGCTATAAGAGACTATTAAATATTTAATTAGATGCATGAGGATTTTAATTGTTTCATGAATAATAATCTTAAGTTTTGTTTTATGTCCGCAATCGAATTTGCAGTCCTAGTTATGAATTAGTTTTTGGTAAGCTGAAAAGGAATTAAATAAGACAATTTATGGTCTACTTTGAAATGAAAACTTAAAGGAACTGCGTGGAAAATGGTTACTGAAGAAACTTATTTCTTTACTAAAGATATTAGTTACTTTGTTTTGAGTCGAAAAGCGTGGTGGGAAATACTACTGCAATATTTTATAAATGCTTGTTCTTTTCATTATAAGTTCAATATATTGTTATTAGAAATATTATATTTTCTTTTAAAAAATCCCATTTCTATTTCTTTGGCATTTTGCTTGAGATAATTTCATAAAGGCAACTGAAACATTAAATAAATTACGACTTATAAGTTAGATCTAAATATAACCTGAGGTTTCGAAACTTTTCACTGGTTATAAAAATTTCTAACTCTCGTAACCCTTTAACTCTTCCACGGAGTCGTAGGTTTCCGTGGAACACCAATTGTGTTGAGGTTTGAGTTCGAGATTACTTAGATAGTTTGAGTTTCCTGTGCTGGCAACATCTTTCTTGTTTTTATATTCCTTTTGATGTAAATAAAAGTTAAGTTTTCTGTTTGTTCTACGTGACTTTCAGTCTAATTTACTCTCAAGGCTGGTGGGAACGCCTAATAGGCGTTGTCAAGCGATGTCTACGAAAGGTACTCGGACGAGCACTTCTTGACGAGGAAGGTCTGTCCACGGCCCTTATTGGAATAGAAGCCGCTCTGAACAGCCGACCATTGGTATACGAAGATGGAAAAGATGACAGTTCCACAGCCTTAACACCAAGCCATTTCTTGACAGGACGAAAACTAACGGCCATTCCATCCAGCCCAAATAACAACACAAAGCTAAGAAAAATCTACAAGCAGCAGCAGGACTTACTCGACTGCTTTTGGAAAAAATGGTCCAAGGAATATTTGCTTCATTTGCGGTCATTTCATCAAGTTCGTAATCAGGACAATATCATTAACATCCGAATTGGCGATATTGTACTTCTACAAGAAGATGTCCGACCACGTCACATGTGGAAGAAAGCTAGAGTGGTGAACTTGCACGAAGGACGAGAAGGAAAAATAAGATCCTGTGAGCTTAGAGTTAATGGTCATAATATAACCCGTCCGGTGGCTCTGGTCATGACCCTCGAGGTCGACCAGGGTGGGGAGGATGTTGAGGTTTGAGTTCGAGATTACTTAGATAGTTTGAGTTTCCTGTGCTGGCAACATCTTTCTTGTTTTTATATTCCTTTTGATGTAAATAAAAGTTAAGTTTTCAGTTTGTTCTACGTGACTTTCAGTCTGATTTTCTCTCAACAAAATCCAACAAATTGGGTACCGCTGTATTAGACTGTTTATTATGACTAAAAAATTTCAAAATCTATTTTTGCTAGCAATTAAAGCATTAATATAATAGGTAAATGGGACACCGGAGTCAACCTTTTGAGTCAAAAGGATAAGGAATAAAAAACTAGTTGCGCAAAACAAATAAAATGATTTCAAACAATTAATATTTTGTTGTACTCATGCCTAAAATTTTTTTGGGAAATTAATTTACGCGATTTATCAAACATTGAAAACAACTTACCTTTTGAAAAGGATTCCGTATCCTTTTTCATCGCTTAAGTGTAACTCCAAAACTTTTAAATTGTTTGTAATCTCATTTGAAGAAATGATATCCGAAGATGATCCAAAAAGCTCGTACGGAAAAAGGTCTGTGAAATAGAATAAACACATTTAAGATGAAACATCATACTTCAAAATATCTAATAAAAATTAATATTATGTACTAAGTCAAAAAATTGTTCCACATACCGATCGAATTTCATTTGAAATATTGTATAATTATGCCAAAATGAAAGAAAAATCCGAATTATAATATTATAATTTATTAAAAATCAATTAATTATATGTATACAATGGACAAATAAAAAAAGAATCACTAATAATTTTGCTGCCTGTATCATTTCATTTCCTGTAATTGCTACTGAATTATTCGTAGTTGTTACGAAAGTATTTTCCCAGTGGTAACATAGACGTGCGAATAGGCATTAATATCTTACTACTTATATTGCAAATGTTTACCAATTAATATGTCCCGAAATCAAGAAAATTGCGCCATCAAAGCAAGAGTAATTACAATATTTATGTGCTCAGATTTAGACCGATAGTTTCACCAGGATATAGTCACTGTCCATACATCTTTCTGGGAACGGCCTGATTTATAACAGATTGTGACTTCCCCTAAGTCTGGAGTTGTCATCTTCGAATTATTTTATATGGAGATATTTAAAAAAAGTTAGGTACGCAGTATGCCCTACATCTGATACCGAGATAAAGGAGAAAATTAAACAAGAGATCAAAAATGTTTTCCCGCATATGTTGGCTCATCTCTTCGATAATCCTATTAACACTGCTTTTCGAAGCTGTGTTGCCAAGGAAATAAGAGTTTAAGTGCCTTATACTTGAAGCAATGCGATTATTTTAAACTATACATATAAACTTGCCGTGAAGAATTATCTGGGGTTTTAGAACGGACAAATTACTTAAATACTTAAAAAAATATTATCCTTTTTTTTTAAATATCGCCAACTTGGAGACATTTTTTCATTTAGATTAAATTATCAAAATTGCTACATTATTCTCAGTTTTTGCTAATTTTTACGAGCCCAGGTAATGCAGCATTGGAGTATGTTTTAAAATATTAAAAAATTAGACCACTGGTTATTGCAGAATACTCAGGATGGCCTTAACAATATATATTTGGATAATGTTACGGGACAAACGTTTCTAAACATAATTTGATCTGAAATAGAATTGGAATTACCTGTATTGAACTTCGATTTTATCTTATCGTTTTCAGTTTCATCTACTTTAGTAATGGTAGTTGATATTCTTTCAATGGTTTTCAGTTCCGTGTCAGACTGAACAACGAAGCCAAATGAGAAACTAATTTGTGTAAGGTAAAAAAATAATTTTATTTTTTAGTATACATATGTACAGTGCTCCAAAAAGAAAGAAAAAGTGGACTTCTCTGATTAACTTTTGGCCTAATGATCGATTCTTCACGTTCTAGGTCTCAATCTTAATGGTTCGAGGGGTGACCTCAAACATACTAATTAATTAGTTCAAATGATATTTTAAGTTACGAAATCAGACACAAAAACGAATTTTCTCTGAACAAACATACTTCCCCCCCCCCAACAGATTCGGACTCACTAAATATAGGGGGTAGCCATATATATGGCCCTCATAGTTTAGTCAGCAATGCTGTCCAAAGTTTGGACACTGTATAGTTAATTTTACTTTTCGCCTATTTCGACATATCTCGAAAACTCTTTAAGGGAAATGGACATTTTTTCCTACAGTAAGCGAAATAGATCGAATAGTTCTTAAGAAATCGAATTTTAAAAACGTCGTATATTTAAAATTCTGTTTCCCAGGTATTCAACTAATTTCACTCAAATTTTGTATTTTCCCGAGTGGAATTGCTTACTTTAAAATGATGTAAAATTTTTTATACCTTACAGTTAATAAATTTTTCGACTCTTATTGAATGAAATAATAAAAAATCATAAATATTAACTACAGTTTATTTTTCACCATGGAATTATCGTTGAATAAACGAATTTTGTAATTGTAATCAAAATTTTTTCAATTCGCTTGCAAATTTTTCGAGATATGGCGAAATACGCAAAAAATAAAATTAACATTAAGGGGTCTGAACTTTGAATCGTTCTCCTGACCAAACTATAGGAGCTATATTTCCTAGATTGCCGCTACCTCCTATATTTTAGAGGTCAGAAAACAGAATCCGTTGAAGAAAAGGTACGTTTGCTCTGAGAAAGTGCGTTTTTTTTAATTTCGTAACTTAAAACATGGTTTGGGCTAATTAATTAGCATATTTGAGGCCACTCCCACGAATTATTAAGATTGTGTTCTGGAACTTGAAGATCCGATCATTAGATCAAAAGTTATTCAGGGTGGCCCTGCTTTTGTGAGGCACTGTACTTCATATAATAAAAACTAGTAATAAAATTGCTTTAAAAGCAGCATCCATCTTAAAGAAGTAAAACGGGCAGACTCACAGTGATACATTAGTAACACGAAGCTCCTATCTATTTATTTAAAACTAAACTCAGCTGAGCGACAGCCCATAGAGGGCCAAGGCCTACTGTGCCCATCTCAGTTTTCTTGACCTTGGGCTCTGAGGTGCAGGAGCAGATGCTCCGGTCAGGGGGTCAGCCGAACGCGGAACCCCCAGTGTTTAGTTCCCATGCATTTAGTACTCATTTATCGACCCACTGAAGGGATGAAAGGCTGAGTCTGCCTTGCCCGGCCCGAGGATCGAACCAGGGACCTGTGGCACGACAGCACGAAGCGCTACCGCTCAGCCACCGGGTGTCATTTATTTATTTACTTATTCATAATTTATAGCTACATATATTTATATAATTTATACATTTTTTAATAGCTATAAATGGATGTGTACGCTTATGTGCTTTAATTTTCTTAATTGGGACACGTAATTATGTAACTGCAATTAAAAAAACTAATGTGTTAGCTAACATAAATAACAATCTCAATTTAAACATGTAACTACTATTGTTTTTTTCCTTTCTTTTTAAAGATAAATGCATGTAAAAATATATACGTCAATGGGTTGCTTGTTTTTCTTTTTAAAGATCAATTCACGTAAAAAGATATATGTCAATGGGCTGTTTTTTTTTCTTTTTAAAGATCAATGCATGTAAAAAGATAAACGTCAATGGGTTAAAATCGTTGTAAATGCAAATGAACCCTTTTGAAGGCCGTGGTAAGTATACTTACCACCACGTTTTACCACTTTTAATTTAGGTTTCCATTTTTCAATAACTTCAGCTTTCTTGAAGTGAGTTTGAATAAAATTGGTAACCATTTGTCACTTTTAAAAAACGTATAAAAGTTATAAAATACATAATTCCTTTTGAAGTTTGTAGCATTTAAGGAATTTATTTTATAAATAAAGAAAAATAAAAGTCAGTAAGTTCCTAATAGGTCATGTTAAATATATTTACCACCAAAAAAATGGCATTTTTATAAACTAAATGAGTTTTTTTTAATATCAATTACTGTTCTTAAAACAATTTCAATTCCAAAAATACTTTAATTTACTTTTACTAGAAATAAAGGGCCCGATAAAGGGTTAAAGTATATAATTAAACTATTCTGTGGCGAGAGAGGCAGAAACGTATCTTTTTTGTATTAGTGTGATTAATTTCTCTGAAAAAGTCATAAGAACATTTACACATAACCAAATAGTTATTTTCTAGTAATACTTTAGTTTAAAAAACATTGATTTTAGATAAATTCAGATTTCTATGAACATAATTTTATATTTGTTATATAAAATTAAACACGAATTTCTTCTTCTACCAAAATAAGTTCGATGATCTAAATCAAGTTACCAGTCTTAATCTTTTTGAAAAAAGATCAAAACTCTTTCTTAATATGGAAACTGTTTCGTATATTTATTTTAAAAGTGAAAGCCAATCAAATTTTTGATAACACTATTTATTACATTTAGGCTTGATTTAGGACTGAAAATTATTAATTATATTTTAATTCATTATTTTCAGTTTTTGTATAACGATATTAATATAGTCTTAAAACTCTTAAAATTTTTTTAATATTAATTTTAATTGATTCTATGGGGCGGGTAATACTGATTGATTCTCCTGAAAGGCGTTTGAAAATTATAGTTTATGCCTTGTAAAATAAGCGATTATGTATTTAGTTTTTTTTTTATCTCTTAGTCAAGTATGTATCATTAAGAATTATTAAATTTATAATATAGTTACTTTTTAACGCTTTTTTCACAGGAAATGTTTCCAATATGGAAATAGGTTCCAGTCTGTAAAATAAGTTAATAATGTAATAAATCCAATAGAATTTCAATAAAATCAAAATTTTGTATGAATTTGTACTTGAACTAAAAAATTGCATTTCCAATAGTTAGGCAAAAAGAAAAACAAATTAAAAGAGAAAATTGAAGATGTATTTGCAGGAAAATCGAAACAAGAGGCTCAATTCAAAGTCTTTTAAAAAGATTTATAATTCTTTATGCTGGGTTTGTGAAATCCCTACATAATTTAAACGTGGTAATGATATTTGATAGATGTTATTATATAGATTTTTCTTGCTAACTTTTACTTTAAAAAAATTAAATAACATATTTTGGGCCTACTTATACTTTCTTGAAAATATTAAGCATAGTGGTGAACACAAATTAGCTAAATTACACTTTCTTTTTTTAACTTTGCCGCCACTTTTTAAATTTTCTAAGGATCGTACGTATTTCTTTATTAGGACAATATATATTTGGAAGCGTGTGTGCTCACTGAGTTTTCATGGAATAAATCCTTATACAGTTATGCTTGTAATAAAGCAATAAAAAAAAGTAACTGGTTGAGTTGTAGATAATAAAGGGGACTTACGAATTACACTAGGGAACAATTTTTTTTTTGTTTTCTGTTGCATAAGATTTTGGAATGGATTTTAAATATTTTCACGTTCGCTGATTATCAAATCTTTTTACAAGTTACAGTTCTAATGTAATTTTATTCCTAACCAAGAATTTTTGTAAAACTTTTCCCGAGTGAATACTAAGTGCTCCCACTTCTCTGTTACATAAGGAGTGGTAGGAACAAGGCCTTGATCCATTTCAGTTACTGAGTTTATTCAGTTCAGTTATGATATACATTAAGGTCATATGCTTTTGTCTGTGTTATTTTCAAAGAAGCACACAATCGCTAAGTATCTATATAAACCTATACGGTTTTTACAAACTTGTACATTTGGTTAAAAAAATAAACTAAAAATGTAATTTTGAAAAACAAATCAGTCGCTTTCAGAGCAGCAGAACTAATTTCAGATTTGAGATCCCCACACCCGAATCAGGTATGACTAAGTACTGCTATGAATGCATCAAAGAATTTGTTCATCAGTATTATTGATTGATGGTAAAATTACCTTTTTTGTGTATCCCATGATGTGATGGAATTCAGGTTCCCTAAATTTGGATAGGCTACCTGTAATGAAACATAAAACAATACTTAATATAGCATGGTGGCCTTTGCGAAAGCAATTTTTATTTTACTATAAAAAAAACGGTGCTTCCAAATCTCACAGCAAGGCAAAGTGTTAAACTAATTTAGTTATAACAGACAAGCTTTATTTACGTAACCAATAAGTAGTATTTGCAGAGTATCTTCCATTGGCCGAGATATTCAATTGAAAATCTCCCTTATTGGTACTGTTAATTACCACTTCTTTTTAAAAACTAATTCCTGTGCAGATTGTCACTTGCTAAATAAACTTGAAATAGTAAAGAATGAAATATATTATGATCAATACCAAAAGTTCCATACTACGTTAGGATTATTAAGAGATAACTAAAATCTTTTAAGCAGAAAAATATGACATGGCAAAATTTAGTGATATCTTTAACAAAGAAATCTTAACTGAAAATATTACACACAGCCCATTTGCAGTTTTTTTATCGGATGGTATAGAAGTATTGTAAATATTGGGCATAGTAATTTTTTCCATTCTATTATTATTCATATACATCAGACTGGTTGAGTAACCAGGAAGCAACCCATTTGAAGGTGGGTCTACCGGCCGTATGCCTATATTGTCATTTTCTAAAAAAAATCTACACAGTCCAGTCACATTAATGTGACCACTACCTGCTTTCGACGTCAACGTGAAATAACCAATCACAGAAGGCAGGTGGCAGAACATTACAGTGGATTGTATATATAGGATGTCCTAAGGCATCTGAAAGCATTTCAATCGTTGGCGTAATGCAGAAACGTAGCGATTTATCCGACGTCCAAAAGGGCATGATTATTGGCTTTCGGGCCAAGGGTGGAAGCANGAATCAATGAGAGCCCACCATGGCTGGTACTGAGCAACCAGAACAATTCTAGGATTAAGATAAGTTGTATTTTAAAAGTAAGTTAGGTCATAAATCCTCGAAAACTATCGATTTTGAAATAAAGGTCACAAAAGTTTTCGTGACCTTTATTTGGTAGATACCCTGTATATAAGATAAATATAATCGAATTTTTTATGGCTAAATGTTGTGATCGATGTATGTTTTGTTCAAATGGATCTATTTTCAGTTAGATTTTTGAATAAAAAACTTAATTGAATTAACTTTGTCTTACGAATCACTAATATCACGTTTATTTTTTCGACTCAGTTGGCAATACCTAAGACATCTCCAACTTTTAAATGGCTTATTTTCTTATAAATTACTCAATTTTTGTGATACTTTAAAAATATCTTTCATTCTGCTGAGGTGCGTTGTTTGCATGAAAAAATGTTTTTATATTTTTCAAAAGTGTGTTGGTTATGATCATGATACTTTTATTCAAAAGACATAAAATTAGACGAAATCTGAAAAAAAAAAAAGATTAAAAAAGAAGTGCCAACTAAAAGTGCCAACTGAAAACATGGTAAACAAAGATAAATTTAAATTTATCTGAAGAGTTTTTCATGCAATTTATATTGCATTTATATTGCATTATTTCTTTAGGCAAATCTTTGTTTTCAAAATGGTGAAAAAGTAAAATGTACAATAGTATATTCTGGCGGAGGAAAACATTCTGTGCTAACTCCATATGTACAATCTTTTTTCAGCAGCACTTGTTTTTTTGGCAAATTTTGCCTACAAAACAGTTAGCACAATTTGAAAGATCATTCTTAAAGCATTTAGAAATTGTGTCTTTGTTATCCACGCAAAATTGGAGAATTCATGGAGCAGTTTTAATTAGCCTAAAGGCTTATTAACAGATTGTAAGAATTCTAAAAAGACCAGGCTAAATTGAATAGCCTAAAGGTTTTTCCAATAAGCCTGGCTAGAGTTGCGATTGTTCAGGGGATAGAGAGTACACCTTCCAATGAGGTGAACAGTTTTCGAATCCCAGTCATGGCTGGTCTATACGATGACGTAAAATATCCGCAGTGGTAGATGGACCATGGGTTAGAGTCCCCTTGCCTTCAGATTAACTGTGGGAGGTTCTTGTGGTCTTCCTTTCCATGTAACGCAAATGCGGGTAAGTTCCTCCAAAGAGTCCTCCACGAAAGCAAATTTCTCCTAATACTTGATTCAGGAAATTCCTTGTCTTCTGTATTGGGCTCAAAATTACAAGGCTACTCAAAATTACAAGGCTCAAAATTACAAGGCTACAAAATTACAAGGCTACTAATACTACTGTACTTACTACTTACAAGGTACTATTCGTACTTAGTTGAACTATAGTAGTCCTAAACTCAAAAATTGGGTCGGCTGTTCAACGACTATTATAAAATAAAANTATCCGCAGTGGTAGATGGACCATGGGTTAGAGTCCCCTTGCCTTCAGATTAACTGTGGGAGGTTCTTGTGGTCTTCCTTTCCATGTAACGCAAATGCGGGTAAGTTCCTCCAAAGAGTCCTCCACGAAAGCAAATTTCTCCCAATACTTGATTCAGGAAATTCCTTGTCTTCTGTATTGGGCTCAAAATTGCAAGCCTACTTAGTTGAACAATAGTAGTCGTAAACTCTAAAATTGGGTCGGCAGTTCAACGACTGTTATAAAAAAAATAAGCCTCGCTAAATTGAATATCCTGAAAATTTTTTCAATAAGCCTTGACTATTTCAAAATGACGATATCTACTAAGAGCCGGAAGACACAGCCAGACATTTCAAATTGCACAGAAATATGTGAAAATATAATATATTTACCTAAATATCTTAACCTATGACCAAACAAATACATCTCCTTTTCTTCGAATTCATTTTCAACCGTAATTGTACCATGAATTGTTCCTGCTTGTCCATAAAAGTCAAGAGCTTCTTCAAATCTGGAAAACATGCAGCTGAACTGTTAATTCTTATTATATGTTTATTATTTCTTATAATTCATTTTATATTAGTCATTAATATGAAGCCTGTTAAGTTTTAAACCCACATAATGGTATCGAAACTTACTGAACGGCAATTTAAAAAAAAGAGAATATAATATGCATATTAACTCATTCAATGGTGGCTTCAAATGTCTCCATGAGGCTTTTGACAGACCATCAATTACGGTTCTTGAACTGATATCAGACTTAAAATCGAAGACATCAGATGCTGCCTTCCATCTGAAATTAAAAGAAGTTTTAAAAAGTTAATTTCTATTTATTAGGCATTCATTTCATCGGTCTATCTCTAAGTTGGTCACATTTGAATCTTCTCTTTCACACAATTACTGGATGTGGAAAAAATGTCCATACAAACTGTTTTTATTATAACTTTAAAATGGATAAATTAACAAACTGTAACAAATAGTAATAATAAGAGTAGACTTTCACTAATAAATACATTTTGTTAGTTTCAAATTGATCACTTTTTGCAGAGTTTGCGAACGTTCATTGAAATTTTCAGCAATGAGTAGCGAGTCAACTTTGGGAAAGATTCCTTTTCACTGATGAGGAGCTCTTTATAGTCCAACAAGCTCATGACTCCCTGAACGATCGGATTTGGAAAAGCTCCAAGCATTCCGGTAATTATTGAACATCGTCAAAATCCAAAGTCTGTCATGATTTGGGGCAAAATTTGCCCAATCAGCTAAAAACCTTCTGTTTTTGTGGATGAGGCAGTTAAAATAAATCAACAAGTGCACTAGTAGAATATTTTAGATGCTGCTGTGTTTCCATGGCCTAAAAAGCACTTTAGCGATGTAAACTGGAGGTTTCAACAAGACTGCACCAGTTCAAAAAAAGGCCAAAAACACAAGTGAATGTAAAGTGCATTTTCGGGACATGATATCTCATCTGAAGAATGGAATTTCGTTATATACAGTGTAATAGTCACCATTTACTAAACGGGAAGTTTTCGGCCGGCTGGATTCGAACTCCCGTTCTCATGAACGTGAGTCCAGCACCCTACCACGGCCCCATTTGAAACAAATAACTAGCAAGAATAAATTAAATTATATCATAATCGACTGCAGATGATTATGCTAACTACTATTTTCTATCTTTCATTTTTAATTTTATTTTAGAATAACGATTTTTGTTCATAAAAAAGTATTTTAAACTTACAGAAAAGCGAATTTGACGTAAATCAGTTTTCCTCTTGTATGGTTATCTTCTGAAATTTCTCTGAAATAAAAACAGCAGTAAATAAGAAAAATATCACAGCAAAAACTTAATAATTCTTTTAATTGTAGAATATATTATGTTTCATGATAATATTTGGGTTAAATAACCCCATTATATAAAAAGAATAGGTTATAATTCGATCAATTATTTTAGTAAATTAATAAATGACATTTATTGTCATTAAATTTAATCATGAACATAATCCTAAAAGTATTAATCTGTTATTCTTTTATTCTCTATTTTTGATTGCAATTAGAGAGACAGAAAAAAAAATATATAAAAGGGACACTGATGTCTCACCTGCGACAAAGTGTAAAAAGGGTTTATTTATTTTAATGGAGTATCTTACAATTAAACTGATCAGGTCATGAATTTAATATTGAACAATAAAATAACAAATTTAACTTAATTATTGCCATATTGGTTATAAGTAAGAAACATTGCTTGTAGAGTGCAATTATTTAAATATCTAGGGATACTCGATCCCGAGTCAAAAGTCAGCCTTGTTCTTTTCCTTTGGAGTGAATGGGAAAAAGGTTTTCGCGTTAAATATGAATAATTTGCAATGGGTGGCCATTTGCAATGGGGAACAACCCGCGAAGCGGGTTTAAGACTTTGTGGTGGCCCTTACATAATAATTCCATCCCTACACTCCAGAGGTACCCAGGACAGTTGGTTGGTTGTCGTGCCCATAGTCAGTCTACTAGATGGTGCCGTGGGCGATCCACACAGCATGAGCTATCTGCACGCAATTGTCCGTCTACAGGTCTTCTTCGGGACAATCACTTATCAGCTGTATTGCAGCCATTATAGCAGGACAAGTGAAACCATGATCAGGTCCCAGTTCGATGTTGAGGCAGTTTTTGCAGTTAGTGTACGTTCTGGTTCCATTCTCCTGAATTCTCATCCCCCTGAATTGTCGAGTTGTCTGTCTTGTTATGATTTTTGTAAGTTTCCTGCTGGCGTTAAGTTCTCAAATATGTCTTAACAAAATACCCCTATTTTTGAATTTTCAGTTTAAAACTGAATTCACGTCACAAAGAGTAGCAAAATGAAGAAATTCACCATTTAGTTGTCGCGCTTCATTGAACAAGACATCAGCAACCTCGTTGCGATCGATGCCAACATGGGACGGTATCGATTTGATGATGCCAGTGTTTATTTTGTGGGTTGGTTTGGTTCAAAGCATCATACATATTGTGTGTAATTCTTGAGAGACCCCGTTGCATTGCTTGGAGGGTAGCGCTAGAATTACTGAAGATTATTATTCCTCCAGCCTTCCCTGTATCCTCAAGATTGTTATAAATATTTAATGTTATTGATGTTATAAATGTAAATCACGGTGGTAGTTGCTATTGAACAATTAAGCAGATAAAATAAGTAAACAGGAAGTTGAGTTTCTACCACTTCTTATAGCTTTAGTCACCCGTTGCATCTCTGAAAGTGGAATTTTGAAAATGATGCAATGGTGCCGTAATCCTAGCGTTGTAAATATAGCTGTAAATATAGCAAACTTAAATCGTTAATTCCCTCCAATTGTTTCGAAAATTTACATTTTATTTCGCATGTTTCCGTACGCAATATTAAAAAAACGTATCAATTTTGCAATTAAAGAACAAAAAATCTTGAAATTTTTAATTATTAACTTTAAATTTGATTGCTATCATTTGACTTATGCATTAACTGAGTGTTATTAAAATATTCTTGGTAATTATAAACATAAAACAATTTTTCATCCTATTAATACTACCAACATTTAAGTTTTTCCCGGTGCATACAAAACCTCTCAGACAATAACCTCCAACATCAGAAAGTCTCCACACGATTTTTTAAAAGTTATCTGCGCAGACTTTTTAAAAAGTTAACCAGTTGTGCGCATGAACCCAATTTCTATTTTAATAGTAATTAAGAGAAATTTATCATATATATTTGAGTATTGACTCTGAAGTGGTTGACAAGCAAATAAGACAAACCAATTATATTCATAAATTAAACAAATTTTTAGGCATATATTTGCTACCATTTTATTATTTTAACTAGATTCGCTATTAAATAGCTCTTTCGTAAATTTGCTTGCCCTCATAGTGGTCTGATTCGACTACCTATAAGAAACCGTGTGGAGGCTTTCAGTTATAGGAGGCGTTAGCCAGACCGACAAAAGTAAACGAACCTTAAATATCCAGCATAAAACAGCCGCCATCTTCTCATTGGTGCGAGGCACTGAAGTTGAAGTCCACCACAAGAGAATGTCATTTCATTTGTGCAAGTCTGTTGGAAATCGAACGTTTTCTCTAGGTGTAAAACCTTTCCAGATTCAAGCTTTACATACACATTCGCTTCTGATCGGTCATTGCAATGTCTGTTAATTTTTAAAATTAGAGTTTCGGATTTTGAATTGGATCCGTAGAAGAATAACTCATCATCTTTCTGGAAAAAAAAGCAAAGCGAAACAAGTGAGCGATAAATAAACATTTTTGCTCACTTTTTTTCTTAATAACATAGTATTAAAGCTGAAATTACTTATAACCAACCCATTTACCTAAAAGACCGAGAAAACTTTGCCGAGATAATTGTTAAGGGCTTACTTGTAAAAATTTCGTACTTAGAATTGAATGCGTAAAATAACAGGGTTGCTATTATCTGGAATTTTTTTTTAAAGTAGTCGAAAATTTCGAATTCGATTTCTCAGGAACTATTAGACCAATTTCACTCAAATTTTGCATTTTGCCATGTAAAACTATATTCTTTAAAATGATGTAAAAAATTGTGCACCTTACAATTCAAATTTTTTTTGACTAATATTAAATAAAATACTAAAAAATGAAATAAAATTAAAGAATAAAAAATAAAATAATGAAAAACAAAATAATAAAAAAATAAAATAATAAATAATTATTAAAAGTTATTTTTTGCATAGAATTATCTTTGGACAAATGAATTTTATAATTGCGTGTAAAGAGTTTTCGATTCACTTTTAAAAATTTCTCGAGATATGGCTAAATACGCAAAAAGTAAAATTAACATTAAAGGGTTCAAACTTTGGAGCACTCTCTTCGCACCAAATACATAAAAATATAATATGTATTAATCATGACTGTAATTATTCTCAACTAGATCACGGACTGTTTAAGAAATCAGTTCAAAAAAGGGAACAACAAAACAAGTTAACGGAACAATAAAACATTTTCGGTTTGTTGAATCCTGCGTAAGGAACCAGAGCACTTTTTAAACATAGTTTAATTTTGTTCCGAAGGGCGCATACAGATGACGGTGTGGCTATAAAAACTATGAAATAATGTCTTCTACTTCAAAAGTTACAGAATTCCACTTGAAATATTTGAGCAGATATCAGTAAATTGTAGGGTATGAACAAAAATGTGAACTTCTATAGTAACTCTAATGTAAACATTTTTTCTTTCAGCAGAAAATGTTTTGGAATATTTTACATGGCAAAACTATTAGCGCAATTTGAAACTTTTAGAAATGGGGTCATCTTCACTCGTGCAAAATTTGTATCTACCAAAATGATGTTAAGAAGTTAAAAGCTTCTTTCCTTTTTCTGTACCACCATTAAAAAAGCATTATATTATAAAAATTGGCTATGTAATGCTTTCAAAATTGCTGGTATTTAAACAAAAAAGAAGTTATAAACTTCGATCCGAAATTGGGATGGGTAAATATGAAATCATTTCTAAAAGCTTCAAGCATGATCTTTCAGATTGTGCCAACAGTTTTGCCATGCAAAATCGTCCAAAACATTTACTGTGAAACAAAGATTGTTTTCATAGAATTATTATAGAAGTGTTTCCATTTTCTTGTCTTGCGTCCTCTGACTACGTATGCTTATACGACTATGTTTGTCCTCTGACTAAGTCACATTTTTTTTTGCAAATGGTAGTTCGTTTAAAAACTTTATTTTTCTTAGCATAATCAGTTCCATTTTTAAAAATAATATCCATGAATCTAGGTCTGAATTAAACCTGGCTTCTTCAGAACCATCCAGTGAACTGTACAGTTCTATCTTTTTCTGCAGAAAAGCAGTTGGTCGTTTGCTTTTGGGACATTCGTAAACTGCCTCTTTCAAAATCAAATTACATTCTCGTAACCAATAGAAAATATTTTGAAAAACTTAAATCATATTTAGAGTGTCATTTTTAAAATAAAATTCAAACACGTCTCGAGACTTATTGAAATGTCTCTAACAATATTCGAAGCACTTTTAGAATTCGCTTTGAAAGTCATAGTTGCCAAATTTCACGTTTCTTGAAGAATTTTTTTTACACAGTGGTGCTAAAATAATAATTTGTGAAACCTCTTAAATTTATTGATGTCGAACTATGTTTTTTTTTTACCTTTAATAAGTGAGAATCTGTTTGTGGTCTTTCAAGATCATATTCTTCCTTAGGGTGTAGAAAATTTACTTTTATGGGATCATGTTTTGCAGAATAATCATACAAATCGAATCTCCTTTTGTGGCTACGCCTGTTTAATTTCACGCAAATAAATGCTATTATCCATTTCATACATTGTATAAGATCTGGAGGAAAAAAATATAAAGTTAACAGAAATTCCATAATAATGTAAATCATACTTAACACGTTGAGCGCCGCGTCAGCCATCGGTGGCTGACACTGGACTTTCCATTTAGGCTGCGTCAACCACCGGTGGCGGACACTGAAATTTCATTTGGGCTGCGTCTGCCACCGTTTGCTGACACTAACTTTTCACATAGGCCGCGAAAAACAGCTGGCTGACAGCGTATAACATGATATAGAACTATGAAATTTACACTCTCTTATGGAATTGCAGAAAGTGTATTCAAAATTTACTTAATTATTGTGATTCTTGATTTAATAAATTCAATTTAGTAGATTTTTATCCAACACTATTTTTAAACAATTCGTAGGCATATATAATTCACTACTTTTTTCAGATATGTCATTCTAAACCTTTTATAAACTAGCAAAATCTATCTGTCTATATTTGCAAATTTAGTTTGTAGTTATTTACCATGTGGCCAGACGAGCTAGTCATGTAAAATTAGCGTGGCATTCAACGTGTTAAATTAGTTAGAGTCTGGCATTTTAGTGAAATAATTGAAAGAACACGCCTTAAATGATAGAAGCATATAACTTGGTGCGCATGTACCACACATATAAAGCTTTAATTTTGGAAGGGAAGCTATCTCAAACTTCCCCCATAACAATAAAATCCCTGAAATGAAATGGAACAATAAAACCTCGTTTAAAATAGCGGCCCCTGAAAAGTTTTTATACGCCATTTTTGAAGGTTTTTTTAATTGATAATTTTAAATCATCTATGAAGGAAATGACTATTTTGGATATTTTGAGCATGAAGTTTTTTAATTTAATCAAAGCCTGTCACTTGGGGTAAGCACTAATATATATAATAATTATATTATTAGTGCTTACCCCAAGTAATATTTCCCTTATTTCATAAATATGATAAGAATATATTAATGAAATAAAGGAAATATTATTTAAAATAAAATAATTCAAATTACTTTTAATGCAAGAATTTGCATATCATCAAGAAACTAAAAGGATTGAGAAGTAATAAGGGCTATGGGTGAGCAAAAAGAGAGCGGGGTGGTATGCATTAATTACCCCAAGTGACATGCTATTTTAATCAAAGCATAATTTAATTAATTTTCTGAATTGTGGTAACCTTCTTTATAAAATTCTTCATTGTGAAAGAAAATATAAATATGGATCTAAAGTCTTGATGTATCATTTTTTAAAGATGCCGAACTTTTAAGAAATTGAATTGAAGCACATAAAGGGGAGGGAATAATATAATAAAGGTTACATAAGGGAATAATTTTTTTGTTCCATTTATACAAGTACTTGATGGTGTCTAATTCAGGTGTGGGAATTTCAAATATGAAATTAGTTTTATTCAAAAAGTTATAGAGTTTTTTAAAAAAAATATTTATGGTTTAGTATATTTTTTGCCTAATGCATAGATTCATAAAGACAGTATAGGTTTATCTACATACATATACGCATCGCATATACATTTAAGACAACGCATCGCATCAAAACTATTATCGTCTTCTTCCCACCACTCCGTACGTAGCAGAAAAGAGTGGACACATAGCATTTATTCGAGTGAATTTTAAAAAATCATAGGATTGTATTATATTATTAAATTGTATAAAAAACTGTATCTTGTAGAGAGACACTGATTGCAGTTCTGGAATCAGCGACGAGTAAGGTATTTCAGATCTGTTCAAATGTTATTTTTTTCCTGCCTTATTGAATAAAAGTTAAAAAAATCTTCGAATTGTAAGGTGTACAAATATTTACATAATTTTAAACTATGAAATTTCAAATTTTAAAACTTAATCATTGAACAAAATTATTAAAAAATTGGTTGGATATTTTTTGGGCTAAGAAATTCAGCCAAAACCATAGTCATCTATTTATTTCTCAAGAATTATTCGACCAATTTTGTTCGATTATTATATTTTGCTACGTTAAATTACAAAGTTCAGAACGAAATACATTTTTTTCAATATTTTTAATGCAATAATTTTTCGAGCATTATTAAATAAAATGAATAATTGTTAAGAAACGTGTTTTTTTTTATTGAATTATCTTTGAATAAACAAATTTTATAATTATTTGCAACATTTAAGATTCACTCAAAAATTTCCCGAGATGAATTATGCAAAAAATTTTAACTATCATTGAGGAACTAAGCTTTCGATAGTCAGTTAGAATAGTCTGATAGTCAGTTATCCCAACAGTAAACATCTCCAATATTCTAGCGGCTGAAAATCTAAATCCTGCAAAAACAAGATAAGTTTATACAGAGAAAGAACGTTTTTCTGTCTGATTCCCTATTAACTGATATTAATTTATAAATAACTTACTTAATAACACTAATTAAATAGCATTTATGAGATATAAACGACTAAGATTGGCCTTTAGTTTTCAAAATCTGAACTTTAGATCTAAAATTATTTAGAATATTTTCTTTTGCCCACTACTTTATCGCATTTTGTATATGGTCAAAATTTTGGCATAAAAAATTAAATATGAAGTAATTGCTGAAGGCAGATGATGTTATTTATTAAAAAGGAAAAACAATATAAAATTGATTATAATTAATCATACCTGTAATTTTATGCACATGAAACCTACACAAAAATCAATGGGAAAGCTAGCCTCCATTGCAGTGATTTCTTCAAAATAAATAGAAAAAGGTCTTCGTGTTTTACATTATAAAAGGTAAAATAATTTTAATTATTTAAAATGAATTTTACCTGGCAATTTCGCATATATAAAACTCACGCAGAAAACAATGGAATAGACTGAATAGTACCCATTTTTGCGATTTCATTAACACGTTGAACGCCACGCTAATTTTACATGGCTTGCCCATCTAGCCAAACGGTAAATAGCTACAAACTAAATTTACAAATATTAGACAGATTTTGCTGGTTTTTTAAAAGGTTTAGTATGACATATCTGGAAAAAGTGGTGAATTATATAAGCCTATGAATTGTTTAGAAATAGTGGTGAATAAAAATCTACTAAATTGAGTTTATTAAACCAAAAATCACAATTAATAAACTACCACTAAAAATATTTAATTTCTGACCGGAGTAAGTTGGCATCTCTGTATATATAAATAAAACTATTTTTGTGCTTTCTATATGGCATTAATTTCTTCAAACCATTTTAGTGACGATAATAATATTTAAAAAAAATTACTCGAATTATGTGTTTCTAATAATCTTGGCTTCGCTGGTCACCGGTGACCCCCGTGGCGCTGCGAACAAACTCAGTGCCGGTCACCGGTGACCCCCGTGGCATTCTACGTGTTAAATAGAAAAATGCTAAACATGATTTATTTTAAATTACAATGTTAAAAGATAGCTTTAGGTAGGTTATTTTACACAATAAAATGAGAAAACAAAATTTAATTCATTAAAACTAATCGTACTTGAACATTTTATGCAAATGAAACCTACGCAAAAGACAATGGGAAAAAATAGAACAGCATTCAGTTTTGCTATTTCTTTTAATAAAAAAAGGTTAAACATGATTTATTTTTATTTATTTGACTGAAAAAAACTGATTTAGAAATTATTGCTTAAGTATATTATACATTATTTGTATTATTATACATTATAAAAATCGAAAACTAAATTAAATTAATTAAAAGGAATCATACCTGAACATTTCATACATATAAATCCCACGCAAAAAGCAATGGGAAAAGCAAGAATAGCACCCATTTTCGCGATTTCTTCAAAGTAAATCGAATGAATTTATGAACTGACTCTATGATAATTTATTTTACAATCAAATATCTCCATCAGATACGCTTTCGTGTTGAAAAATTCGTATAGAGATAGCGTTATTCATGATATCTCTCTGATTGCGCAATAAGGAAACTTTTCCTATTACACAACAATACGAAAGTCGGCATTCAAGAGCAGCTTTTGTTACCATTGATAAGGCTTAACGAGATTATAAATAGACGTCTCTTTTATTTACTATTGATACATACTGACATAATATTGTCGATGCAAAAACTAATTGAGAAATTTCACTATGTAATGCTACATTTTCGAAAGATCCTTGGGAAAAAAATTAAAGCAGATGTACTCAATTTTAATTCATTAACGCTATTCTATTTCTTATTTATGATGTTAAAATTCATAGTGTTAAAATTTTTTTATTATAGTTTATTTGGATGATTCTACTGTAAAAAAGATGATATTTTAAAAAGTGAATATTTTCTTACGCCAACTATAAATCAATTTTAGAAAAAAATCATTATGCCTTGATTACAGATTATAGTTTGATGCATTATAAAATAATTTTGCAACCAGCTTCTTTTTATTTAAAAGAAAAAGATCTTGCAAGTTAATTTACCAGTCAATCTAATTAAGTTACAGAATCTAATGAACTAATGCCTTGTCATGCGGCTGTAATTTAATTCAATGAGTTTTCGAGATGATTATCGATATTATGGAATTATAGACAGGCCTGCCAACACTACGCTTTTTGCAAAATACTTCATAGAGTGGTAGACATTTAAAAATTAAAGTTTTTAGAATTTTTGGTAATTTTGCCAACATTTTAAAAGGTAAGGATTAGTTTGGCATCATCTCTGAATAAACAGACTTTATTGCTTTATTGAAATTACACACATTTTCAGGCTTTTGTGCTCAACGTTAGGCTTATAAACCTTCGTCAAGTAGAAGGACAGATAGAACAATTCCGAGAAGGACATCACAAAGTATACATCCAGGGCTACCGAGAGATTCGAACCCACCACCTCCACACTTCGCACAACATTTGACGGGCGATACCACTCTATAATAGTTTAATAAGAAGAGTGATCGAAAGTTTGAGTATTTCCCTTTTTTGCTTACTACGTCAAATCTCTGAAAATATTGATGAAAATCAAACAATTTTTGCTTAGTATGAAACTCTTTTATCTTGCTCTACAAATCCCTTCGATCTATTAATCAGTAGCTTGAAAATAGCTTTCATATTCGTAAAGAGTATGAGTTGCTTCCAGTGGATACCATGGCTAATGTTTGATATACAATCAAGCATTAGTATGATATTAACATTTAAAAGTAGTCCTGTAGTGGACTGATCGTTAAGACGCGGTTCCCAATAGATCACCAAAGTCAAACGTCACTGGCAACGGTCAGTGTGCTGGTGGTAACCAATTTGATCGGTTTACGAAGGGACAGAGGGTGTACGAGTACGGTATCAGTCGTCCTTAAACTGTTATACCGTAAAGTACTCGACTTCGCACGCAAATTGTTGGGATACCATAGCGGGGGAGTCGCCCAATAGCCCATTGTACACCTCTGGTGCGTCGTAAATAAAGTACTACTACCTTTAAAAGTGAATGTGCTTCATAACATAATAGGCTTCTACTGGATAATATTAAACGATACGTAGGTAAGTGCTTTATTTACGTCGCACTAGAGCTGTACAATGGGTTATTGGCAATGGTCTAGGAAACATCCCTGAGGAGGATCCGAAGACATGCTTTCGAAATTTTGATCCTCTGCATGGAGGATGGCTCCCCTGCTCTAGTAGTCCAACGACCTGCACGCGAAGTGGAGCACTTTACGGTAGAACAGTTTAAAGAGGACCAATACCGTGCACCCTCGGTCCCTCGTAGGCTGATCAATGTGGTCACCCACCAGCTTACTGTCAGCAACCAGTGATGCTTGACTTCGGCGTTCTGCTGGGAACCGTGTCTTTACGATCAGTCCACTGCAGGACAGTAAACGATAGATGCCTGACAGCAAAGCGCATCAAAACTATGACTTTTTGTAATGCAATCTGACCTAGTTTAAAGCTGTATTAATCTATTCTGAATGACACTTAAAAAATAGGGCTTGTTTTAAAATCTAATGTATTTGTTTTAGATACATAATTAGGTATTTGCATGCTATACACTTGGTTTTATTTTATTATTTTGTAACTGGCGTTGTATAGCCGACGCAATTCTGAGTTTATGACTATCAATGTTTAATTTCGTAGCCTTGTAATTTGATTCTAACCCAGAAGACAAGAAAATTTCTGAATCAAGCTTTGGGACAAACTAGCCTTCGTGGAGGACTTTTTGGAACTAGCCGAAATTTGAGTTGCATGGTTAGCCGGGATTATTAGACAGTGACATGGTTTGACAGTGGGATTCTAACCCATGATCTGTCTACCACTGAAGATATTTTATGTCAGAACTGTGGTCGGTGTGAGCCGGGAATAAAATTAACACCAACCAGCCACCACGGGGATTAGAGCCTGCGTTACCTTATTGGAAAGCGAATGCTCCATCATCTGAGCCCTTATAAGCTATCAAGGTTCTTTAGACTTTGGATCTGGACAGCGATGAAGAAGATTAAAGCTTTGTGCTCCAAAATCACTGAAGAAGTCAGTGCTTATGCTCAAAAATCATACAAGAGCTTATTATTCAGACAAACGAAATCCATTAACTTTAGCTACATTGAGCTATTTAAACTTAAAAAAATTTCTCAAGTTTTATGAGCTGGTTGGTCAAGTCATATACCTAAGCATTTATATGTATGTTACTCATTTGTACTGTAAGAGCTGGCATTTTTTGATATAGTAGATAGTTCAAAAATGGTGCTTTTCCATTTTAAATTTATGAAAAAGTAATGTTAAGAGTACTTAAATCTTAGATTTTTTCTTGGTTTATTTCCCGGCAGTAAAAAGTAATTTTCAGGTTTTTGAAATCAAAANCTTGACTACTTAAAAGATTTTTAAAAATTAATAATGTTATTTCAAACTTGTGTTTTAATTTCAAATTTTACCAAGTTAAGTAACCTGTTACTGCTTTATAAACTAGGGTCAAGTTATAACTACAGATTTTTAGCTTGATGCCTGGATTTATATTTCTGAAAACTACATTATGTGCCCGGGGATTGCCATTGTCTACATCGGTGGATGCTATGCTAAGATGGTCTTACATCTCTAGATGGAAAGTTATGGTAAGCACTTTATTGGATTTCTTAATAAACCGATTTTCTTTCGTACCAAACGTTAATCTTCCAAGCTTTTTGTAGTTTATGCATAAATTTCTCTATCTAATTTAACAAAAGTTTGATCCTGTAAATAAACGAACCTGCTTAATTTTTAAATATAAGTTTTCATAACTTCAGCAAATAAAGAAATAAAGCAGTTTCCTTTTAAGATTAAAATTAAACCTTTTTAAAACGACTTTTAGATTAACTATTCTTAAACATCTTGCATAGCATAAACAAATAACGAGACATAGACAGGTCTTTGACACTTTTTGTCCGTTTAATTTTGCCACCTTGAAATTGGTGAGTATCCAAATACTAAAACATTATAGGTTCTTGAACCCCATTTAAAAAGAAGTTAATGCTCTAAAACATGACATTTTAAGTAAATTCATTTTAAAAACACGTCTGATATGGACTTCTGGAAAGAGTTATACACTTTAAGCACTTTTTCACAACCATTAATATTTCCCCCAAATTTAATCAACAACCGTTTGGTTGCCTACAGTACAGTAAACCTGGTTTTTGTGCTCCTAAGTTCTACGCTCAATTCCCATCAGAATATTAAGTACAAAAATGCGTTAGGTAAACGTAAGAAGCTATTTTTTATAACGTCTAGAAAATATTTTTCGAAAGATTTCAAAACTAGGAGAGATTTGTTGCATTTCGCGCTTAAAAAAAAATCTGTAATTATATTTATACAGGAAATTATGGAAATTTTTTAAATTGGAGGAACTGTTTTCGTTTACTCAGTATATATACATTAAGTTTGAAATTATTGAAATTTCTTAAATATTTTACTTATCAGACAGAATTCAGAGAACTATTTGTTTTTCTTTTATCTAGTCTNGGAAATTTTTTAAATTGGAGGAACTGTTTTCGTTTACTCAGTATATTAAAATTAAGTTTGAAATTATTGAAATTTCTTAAATATTTTACTTATCAGACAGAATTCAGAGAACGATTTGTTTTTCTTTTATCTAGTATATTGAATTACTTTACATGACAATATAAATTTTGTTCTATGCGATCTTATTTTCTCATTAAATTTCCGTATTTAATCTTAACACTTTCTAACAAGTGGCGTAAAAGAATTTTTTAAAATTTTAAATTCTTATTATTATTTTTATTTCACCGAATTTTTTGATTTTTCGTTTTGTAAAATTCAACGATATAATTTTTCACTAGCTTATTCTGGATGTAAAAATGTGTATATGGTATTCTTACCATGAAATGACTTGACTACTTAAAGGATTTGATAAGCGAGTCTTTTATGAATTTAAACGCTATATTATGAAAAACTCTATATTATGAATTTAAACGTTATATTATGAATTTAAATGTTATATTATGAATTTAAATGTTATATTATGAATTTAAATGTTATATTATGAATTTAAATGTTATATTATGAATTTAAATGTTATATTATGAATTTAA